AATTCTGCGGAGAGATTAAACTTCTTGCTAGTTTCTTGCTACTTGCTGATGGCTGTCTCAACGATGACGTCATCACTGCTGACGTCACAAGTCGTTTTTTATGGTCCTCCATCCGTCCATTGAAGCGTCAGCTTTTGGACGTCCAGGACGTATTGTGTGCAAATACCAAGACGAAGTCGGCTCGCTTCAAACAATATGCACCTCGAAGGAATTTATATTAAAAACGAACTACATACATGAAAATGTTCGCTATTACATATATTCTAGCTTTCCGCCCGCAGCTTCGCCCGCGCGGAGTTCGGTTATATCGCGTTTCCAAGAGAACCTTTCAAAAGTCTGGGATAAAAACTATCCTATGTTCTTTCTCAAGGTCAACTCTATCTCTGTACCAAATTTCATTAAATGATTTTAATTTAACGAACATCAGTTCGTTGGTTTAGGCCTGAAACCGTAACAGACAGACAGAGTTACTTTCGCATTTATAATATTAGTAGGGGTTTGTTCGAAATCATTTATTTATATTTCTTATATACAGTTGGTAGTGATGTCCAAGCTAGTTTGTATGTCTGTCTGTACTTTGATCTGTCCAACGCTTGTATCTCGACACTCTCCAGACAGTCATTGTCCTAAAAGAATGCTACACTGTCCCATTTTATCATGTAGGTCATATCTTGACTGTTCTACTTATATATTTTTAACTAAAGTATTTTCAAAAACATCGTTAGGTATTCGCAAAAATATGTATTAACCTCCTCTCCCCTCTCTCTATATAAATATGTTACTAAAGATATCAATAACACTTGTATTGTGTGGGAAAATAAGTACACATATATGTTATCTTTATAGGAAGAGTCTTAGAACTAACATATTATACTTAGTGATCAGTATTAGTTGTTTCAATAAATAAAGCATTCGTACTCCATATATCCCTTTGATACTAACGTCATAGAATTTGAACAATTTAATTTCAATTCATGAAGTGTGATAGTAATCTAATGTTTCGTATGGGGACTGGGGTGGGTGAAGTCCGCTGTGACGTCATACCCCAATACAACCCTAAACAGTACCGCCATTCAAATTTGTACTTTATATCCATAGCAAAACGTATCAAATTCAATGTATAATCCAAGTTTTTGTTTACAATAATTTGATTATTATGTTGCAGTGTGATAATTATTTAATGCGTTTAATTCGATTAGTTCAGTGTACTTTGAAATATTTTGTCTATCATGGGCTGGTTTTTAACCGATGTCAAATACGGAAGTAATGGTTTTCACTGTATTTTTATGACTAATCATTTGGAACCCTCATAGGTTTATTTTCGCATTATGTTTGATATGGTGTGAATTATTTTTATACAATGAATATCTAATGTATAAAGAAAAAAATGTCTCTAACGAAAACTACATTACATATATTTCTTTCCAATAATTAAGTATTCAATGTTATTTGGATCCTAAGAAATTAATATTCCAAGTTCGAGCCATATATTTTCCAAGTAATAATTCCACGTCGCATCGATTAAGCAGCCATGTATGCATCAGATGTATTAATAATCTGTATCCCTCGCCTGTTACATGAGACGCAAGGCGCTGCGACCTTTCAGACTCATTCCCGTACCAACATTGGAGCTGGGAAATATTCCTCTTATATAAGACATATAAAACATTTTTTATTTGTCATAGAAAACTTTAAATCTTTGTCATTGTCATCATCATCAGCCTATCAGAGCCCACTGCGAGCAAAAGTCTCTTCTCACATGGAGAAGATTTGAGCATTAATCACCACGCTTGCTCAAGACGGGTTGACGATTTCAAACTTATAATTTGATATTATTAGTCGAGGTTTCTTAACGATGTTTTCCTTCATCTGTCAGTGCTGTCGAAATGCTCTTAGAAACTACATACATATGACTGAAAAATCATATTGGTACTTGCCAGTACTATTGAAATTAGTTAATCTTTGCTACAGATTCATCTATATTTATATGCATTTCTATATATAATAGGAGTATTTCAATATATTTAAATTATTTCCAGAATACATGGCCATTATAATTGTTTGAGTCTGAAATACACGGGGTATTATAATGACGTGAAGGAGCTCACACAGTGTGTTACAGACGGGTCCTTAACAAACAATGGGCTTCCGTTATAGCAGGCTTTGTGGGCACTTCCTACTCAGACATATCTGTGCATCTCTACAACCACAAACACACACACACACACACACACATACACACACTTATATATAATACAAGTCAAAATATTCCAGCAATGTATGAAATTGTTAGGATTTATCGTTCTCTCGTTAATAGTTCAATATAGTTAATGAAAATATTTTGATATGTTTGTAGCTAAATCCTATTTGACCCATCCTGCTCCACGTGAGTGAGAATTAAACTTAGCATTTATTTGAGTTAACAAACCGTCAGCGCCATCTATCGTCTGTGTCACGTGAATTCATACAAAGTATATACTATGTTTGTCCTGTTATAACATCAATCAAAATAAATTATATAGCTTTTATGGCAAGGTTCATAAATGTTCATAAAAAATGTTGTACAGTATTAGTGGGTTATAGTTACTTTTGTTTTAATACGGCGAATATTTAAATATGTATGTATGTAATGAAAATAAATTTATATTTTATTAAACAGATGAAGTTGTAGCAAAAATATATATTTATATTTTATTATTAAATTTTAAAATATCTATGAAATTAATATTCAATGATTTTAATTAATATAAAAGTACTTGTTAAAACCCCCCATATTTAACTAGGCTTAACTAAAGTTAGGAGTTTGCCACGCCTATATTATCTTAATGTAATGAGATGTGTTGTAAGTCGTCTGTTTGTTTCAATAACAACGTTAGCCAGACACAACACCTTCGTTTGGGTGAGAGCGACTCGTTAAACTACCCTCGAACTCGTCACTCCTTTACAAGCAGACGATTAACTTTAAAAGGGCACGGGGTGAAGGACGCACTCGTTGGCCACGATCGATACTATGTACTGCAAATACAACGTCCAAACACGACCTTATTTTAATAGGAATAGAGGCGTTATTCCTATGAATTGATAGCTTTTAGTTCTGTTAACATTTCATACTTTATTACCTACTAGATAAGAACCATTTCGGCTCGGCCGGTTATATGTTTGTTTGATAGATGCTACATACGTTTATGTCGAACGTGGAAATTGTGAGGCTCGTATTGATTTAGTAGTAAACGGGAACACGCTTACTACAAGTATACGACGACAAACTCGACGTGTAGTATAGGATATCATTCAATGCAGATATACATGTATATAGATATGGGTAGTATATGATAAACATTAAGGCACACAATGAATTGTAAGTATTTTATAATAGCTAAAATTTCGACCGTAACACCTACAGTATAGAGTTAATTTTCCGTCGCACGTCAATAGTAAACAACGCGGAGTTGTAAACAGTAGGTACTGTATTGATTGAATTTGAATATGAAACGGCGTGTGATGTATTAAGGAGTAACATTGAGATTATTGTCATTATAATTGATTTCATAGGCAATGGAAATAGGAACTAAAAATTAAGAATTTCATACAAATATTGTTTCTATAGTATATAAAGTCTATTTACTGATTCCTCGTTTCTAATCGATTGAGACGATCATATGTTATAATATACATTTGAGACGGACTCCGTAATAAACTTGACATACAAGATACTTATGCTGAATTATTGTCTACCTTTCAATTGAAAAACATCTTCTATGCATATAAAGAGTAAAGTAAATAAATTGCAATTATATTAATAGAATGGCGAATTAACGAATCTGTATTAAAAAAAAATTATTCATTTTTACTTTCTAAGAGTATTTAGACGCCACTGACAGACGGTGGAGGAAAACATCGTGAGGAAACATGGACTTATAATATCAAATTATAAATTTGAAAACACCAACCCGTCTTAAGCAAGCGTAGTGATTAATGCTCAAACCTTCTCCATGTGAGAAGAGGCCTTTGCTCAGTAGTTGCCTCTGATAGGCTGATGATGATTTAAAATTAATGTCAATCATAAAGCAAACTGTAATATTAATCGACGCCGGTACTCGTTCTAGGAAAAAAAACAGGTGACTTGTATGCAGTGGTCGTAATTCCATCGACCTACATGTTGATGAAATAAAAACTTCTATCACATACTAACATTTACACCCTGATTCTGCTGTGAAGTGAAATATATCACTTTAATATTGACCTCGGAGTGTAAACTAGAACGACCACAGACCGTCTAGTGTATATTACGATCTATTTACAAAATATTGCACAATATTAATACATATTATTACCGAAATAATATTCAGAGAATTCCATATAAATATTCCGAATACCTCTAATATTCACACACTTGATCTGAATAATGAGATGTAATATTAACATATATTAATAATATTCGTAATATCAGATTAATATATTTGTGAATGGAATTTCCCTTAACGATATATGTATTTGATGTATATAATATATACTATATATGTATTTGATGAGTTTATTTTTATTTGATGTTCTACTTGAACTCTTTTAAAACTTTGCTAGCATTTGTAACATAATTCTTTGTCTTATTTTGATCGCTATTAAATATTCAAAGGAGATAAATATGATATTAGTTTATGTACATATTTAAATTCTTGTTAATATGGTTTTCATCTCGTGGAACACGTAAATAATGATATACAGACTCGTAGTAATACTATAGTTTAAGTGATACTAATATTTTTCGGATTATACTACGCTTGCTTTATTATTGTAAAAAACTACATACTTATGTTGAGATGTGTCTGTCCGTGATCACACTTGCTGAAAAGTAACCGAAACGTTGGTAGCATGTAGACTTTTACAGTAATAAAACACGCGTAGTACAATCCGAAAAATATTAGTTTCATTTAAATGAATACTCGCGAGTCTAAGATCTCATTCTACTATAGTATAGTATAGCTGTGATGTTATAATTCCAGATGTACTCTCCGTTTTCCATCGACCAACATTCGCCTGGAGTTCCAGTCGCTGGTCGAGGAGAGTGGCGTAGGGTCCGGGGGCGCAGGCCCACCCCTGCCCCCGCTACGTATATCCATACCAGTGGACAACGATGGGCGAAGCCCTGCGCCTTCCCCGACAGGTAAACAACAATTACATAGTACATACATAAAGCTCTGAAAGGTTACTGAAGACGACGCGTCCGACTGAACGAAATTGAAGAGAAAGACCAGAAAGGCAGATCCCACCAAGAGATGGGAATGAAAGAATGTAACATAACTTCTATCAATCATACTAATGATACTTTTAAACTCCAAATATCTCTTATTGTCAATGTATATGATACTCAAACCCTTGATTTTACGAAAATGAATATTAGCTTTTGGATACATTCATATAAAGGAATCGATTCCAACTGTCTGAAGAATTGATCCTTGAAACTATTTTTAGTCGCAATAAAACCTACATGTCATGTCTTCATTATGACGTCATAACGTTATAAGAAGTTAACGTTTAATAAAGTGAAAATTAAAAAATATTAAAGTTAAAGAACTCATATCAATATAATATAATAAATATTATTAAATTAACATATTAAATCAATTAACTATCTTTCAGTCTGAATGATCAAAGAAGCCATGATATATATAAAAAGTCTTCCACGTATATTTGGAAGCTTAATTATATAGTAAAATAAAAAGAATATTACAATTGAAATAAAACTAATGTTTATCACGTGTGTGATGGTTGCTGCAAAGTAACCGAAAAGTCGATAGTAGGTAGTTAAAATAATTAAAAACGCGTAGCAAATCCAAAAACATTCCTTTGATTTCAATGGATGCTCGCGAAAGTCTTACACCTCATTGAATTAAAATTGAATGAATCTAAATTATATTTGGATGTAACGTTGTGTTTCTAATTGTACTTGTAATACATTCCAGGTACAATAAGCGCCACCAACAGTTGTCCCACGTCGCCGCGGGGCGCCGGTTCATCTGGCCGGCGGCACCCAGACCTCGGGCTTGTGGCGCAGTACGCGGCCCTGGCTGACCACCAGCGACCGAACTCGAACGGAACCGCGGTATGTATATATGTATGACAGTCTATGATAGTTAAAATTATGCGAAAGATTGTGAGCAATTGATGTTTGTTACTGGATAACGCTGAAACTGAGAAACAGATTCTGATGAAACTTTTCTGCGATGTAGTTCAGACATCAGAAAGAGACATAGGCTGTAATGTATCCCGGAATTCAATGTGGATTTCTAGTTGTCTTGTGTATGAAATCACGTGACTTATACTCTAGTTCTCCCTGTTTATTTGGTTACCATATTTTTTATTTTAATAAACTTTATACATTTCTCTCTGAACTCCTATCGCAAGTCTACTCAGATTATGTCCTTGTCGAAAACTAGTTTTATACAGTTTTGGTTTTTTGTTAGTTTATTATGTGGTTTTAAAATAACACCTGAACTGTTATTTGGAGGAATACGTTCTCTAATGTCAAGTCGATTGCTATAAGCTATAAGTGTTTTAAAGGTTTCTGATGCACTTCTCTTTTCCGACAATTACATTAGCAGTAATACTACTTAAACTAGTGATAAGTATAATGATAATAGTCAGTGGTGGCCTAGTGGTTAAAGGCGCCGTCTCTCGTGCACGAGGGTGCGGGTTCAATCCTTGCAAGTAATAATGTGATTTTTCCCAGTCATATGTAAGAGTTTTTAGACACCACTGACTGATGAAGGAAAACATCGTGAGAAAACCTGGACTTTATAATTTCACAATTATAAATTTGAAATCATCAACCCGTCTTGATCAAGCATGTTGATTAATGCTTATACCTTCTCCGTGTGAGAATAGGCCTTTGCTCAGCAGTGGTCTCTGATAGGTCGATGACAAGTATGATGATAGCTATGTCTTTGTTTCCAGGCTTCGTCTACGTCTGATTCCGGCTACAGTTCCCGGGACGCTCGAGATGCCAGGGAACATCGCGAGGGCCGTGACGATGCTAAACCACCGTACAGGTAGGTATACATAATATGAGAAGCTTTGCTCCGTGATAGTACATATGTGTAGAAATATATATATATATAGTTCATAATTAAAAGATTTTCTATATCCTTCGCATTTTGCTTGTATTGTAATGTGATGTAAAACAATTATAATTCAGTCAGTGACTTAAAATAAATTTATAAACATATTCCGTAATCGGATATATTATATTAAAAATTAGTACAAATTTTCAACCATTAAATTTCCTTAAACAAATATTTTTAAACATGTTATTCCTCACTGTGCAATACATAATATATATGATAATATTTCCAGCTACGCCCAGCTTATAGTCCAAGCTGTTGCTTCAGCAGCGGACAAGCAGCTCACGTTGAGCGGCATCTACAGCTACATCACCAAGCACTACCCATACTACCGGACCGCCGACAAGGGCTGGCAGAACTCTATACGACACAACCTATCACTCAACCGGTTAATACCTACAAGGAACCATCTATTAGAAGCATTTACAACCTTAACGTCATAGAAATTAGATTGGAATTCAGTTGGAAAGTTATAAGTAAATCATTATCTAATCTATATGTCACATTCCAGTTACTTCATCAAGGTTCCTCGTAGTCAGGAAGAGCCAGGCAAGGGCAGCTTCTGGCGTATCGACCCTCAGAGTGAAGGGAAACTCATTGAGCTGGCCTTCAGACCTCGCCGCCCTAGGGGGGTGCAGTTCAGGGCACCCTTCGGACTCTCTTCAAGGTACATTCATATATATATTCTTACACTTGAGTTAAAATTCATATTAAAATCATACAAAGAAAAATATCGATACTTACGATATAACTTAATTACTAATTACGTTAACCTACTGATTTGAACCAGCTTAGATGGCGAAATGTAGAAATTTTATTATTAAATATATATTTATTGATATTTAAATACATCATTATATCGTGACATTTCAATTGTTAACATGTTTCTAAAATGTTTCAAAAGTTACCGCTTCAAATCCTGTTTGTGAATAAAATGAAAAAATTTGAAGTAAATTTTAAATAAACTATTGTTTTAATATATAATTAATGATTATCTTTTATGTGTAATGTATTCCAGGAGTGCTCCTACTTCTCCGTCTCAAGTGGGTGTCTCCGGGCTGGTCACTCCTGAGGAGTTATCCCGGGAACCAACGCCTGATCTCTTCACGGCTGAGGAACATGAACAACAGGTACTACTAATAGGAAAGAATTAATCATAACACTAGTTAAGTCAGTGGTGGCCTAGTGGTTAACAAGCCCGCCTCTCATTCTCGAGGGCGCGGGTTCGATCCTGGCCCGGGCAAGTACCAATGTGATTTTTCCGAGTCATATGTACTTTCTAAGAGTATTTAGACATCACTGATTAATGCATTCCCAGAAGAGGGTTGATGTCAGGCAGATGGCTGATCGTAAAAATTAGCCAAAACTATTCACAACATGTAAGGTAGACCCTGGCTAAAGCTGGGAAATTGCCAGGTAGAAGAAGAAGAATCGTAACACTCTAGTTCTTGCCCATACTCAACTTCTTGACTTTACTTGTTACAATGAAAATGTAATATTCAATTCAACAATATTAACACTAGTTACTGCCGGTGACGTTACATATGTACTCATTAGAATGAAAATCTAATATTTAATAGAACTATATTAAATTCGTCATGTATGGATTGTGTTTAGTAACAAACCAAATGACAGTAACTGTACATTTTAGAATGAATTATTCCAAATCTTATCAAGAGAATCTTGATTTAAACCTATGACTTGTGTGTAAAATACTTCAGTGTTATACTTTAAGATAACTTTTTATTTTTCAATTAATTTACTCAAATTTTTATTGAGTTATGTAAAAAAACTATCATATAAAAATTTTACATAACTAAGTCATTGATTCATAAGTATACTATGTACTTATTACATGAATACATTTCCAGCAATCTGGCCAGCAGCGTCTGTCATCATCGTCACAGTATCTGTTCCCGCAGAGAAGTGGGGTCAGTCAGAGTGCACCTGGCTCACCTGGTTAGTACATTATACTACTATTAGCTGCGCCCCGCGGTGTTACCCGCGGATTTCCGGGATGTAAAGTAGCCTATGTGTTATTCCTGGACGTCAGCTTCCTGTATACAAAATTTTATCAAAATCGGTTGAGCCGTTTGAACGTGAAGAAGTAAAAAACATACACACGCACTCACAAACTTTCACAATACTACTAACTAGTACTGCTACTGCTATAGACTGCTGCAGTATTCAATAAATGTGTTACACTGTAATATATTTACCGTAACACCAAAAGTAAAGTCATATTGTAGAATAGTAGCAATTGATAATTGCGAAATATTACACCGCAATATGTTCTGTGGATTAAGCAAGTAGGCTACTATAGGGATACTAGTAGGATAATATTATAGAGTCCATAATATTATATATATGTTATATACAGGGTGACTGGTGAATTACTATCAATATTTAAGGAGAATACTCGGTACATGATTCTCATTCGAATTATGTAAAAAAAATAGGCACTTAATTTTTGACAAAATTTCCGTATAAATAAGTAAAGTGTTGACACGTTCCAAGTGTTCAAGTGTGGACGCGTGCGGCGGCGTGCTGATACAACACTACGTCACGACACGCGTATGTGTGAGTGTCAGTGTATACCTAATCTGTAGGGTGTTCACACGATGCGTAATTAATTACATAACTTTTGGTTAACTTTACTTAGAAGTTTATTAATATTTATGTTATATTAATTTTTATTTCGTCATATATGATCGTCAAATATCACGTCCTCAAATATCGATAGTAATTCACCAGTCACCCTGTATATATGTGGACAATATTAATAGAAAATAAAAGGTTACCAAGTAACTGACATGAATTGTATTATAATAATTGCGCTTTTATCACACCAAGCCAGTATATTCAATACATATGTTGTGTATCAATAAGTATTTCAAAGGTAACAAATATAAGTTATTGTTATTCTTATTAACATAGAAGTGTATATTTTATATCTGCTGTCATAACCATTTTATTCTTCCCTATTTCAAAGGTATAAAACTGTATTTAATGTTAATAATAACTTCATATATGTGTATTATAGGTCATGGTGTGTACGCGGGCGGCAGTGGTTTGGTGATGGCCGGACATCAGATAACGGTTGTCACTAACGGCGCTGGAGGGGAGAGGGAAGGTGGGGATGATAATCATATCATTATCATATCATACTTCTATATATATATAAAAATGAATTGCTGTTCGTTAGTCTCACTAAAACTCGAGAAAAGCTGAACAGATTTATCTTATCTTAGTCTTGAAATGTTTGTGGAGCTTCAGGGAAGGGTTTAAAAGCTGAAAAAAATTTAATCATTTCCAGGAAAACCCTGAAAACAGCCCTTTTCTATTTCCCATACAAACGTTTTTTTTTGACATTAGATTTGATAACTAACTAATATATCAATCATTCTGTCGCATTTCAAAACATGGAGATTTATGGCTTATAGGTAAACTCCAAGAAAATAAATAAAAAAAATATATATTTATGGATTGAGGCAGTACGAAGTTTGCCGGGTCAGCTAGTATTATATATTAATTAGATTTTTTTAGGTAACAAAATAAGTTTTGTATTTAAAAATTCCATATTCAATACATAAAAACATCTATAAATATGTAATGAAAAATTCCTAAGTATTTGAACCTCAAACCTTTAGGTCTTTGAGGTTGTTCTTTTAATATGATAAGAACATTTAAACATTATTTTTATTGAGACTCAAAAAGACTAACCAAAGAAATTCCCTTACATATGTTAATAATATTTACTTAACGACAATAAATGTATCAAGTCATTCCCAAAAGAGGGTTGATGTCAGGCAGGCGGCCGGTCGTAAAAACAAATCGCTAAAACTATTCACAACATGTAAGGCAGACCAGACCAGAAATTGCCAGGTGGAAGAAGAGGAATAAATGTATCAAGTCTACATGAGATGTTTTCATATTACAGAGAAGTATGTGGTGGGCACGTCGGGAGGCGGGCTGGTGTCGATACCCGAGGAAGAGGTTCAAGCTGCGAACTTACTGCTGCATCAGCACTCACCTTACTACGCGTGAGTAGTTAACATGAATAAAAAAACTAGTACTAGGCTTAGCCCAAGAAGGTTACTATTTGACATATTGTTATCTATCATGTTTGGATAACTCTTTGGACATATAAACAATGTATCGTAATATATACATACTTAGAATACATTTTAATTCTACTTAATTGCATATAATAATATCACATATCAATCTATGGTTTTAAATTTTAATTACATAAAATTATTAATTTTAGGTTCACATATTCTATAAAAACCTATTTCTTTAATTGTCATATCTTTATATATAAAATTCTTGTTACAATGTTCGTTCCTGTACTAGTCCAAAACGGCTTGACCAATTCTCATGAAATTTTGTGAGCATATTGAGTAGGTCACAGAATCAACTGTTGGATTATGAATGAATAGACGATATATACGCGAATATAATTATATTTAAGCCAGAAAGATATTACAATGATATTCAGGCGAACGCGTGTTGACAACTGAACTGAATAAATCGTTTTTTACATATTATATGCCGGGCGGCACTACTCACACACTTCGTACTATCTCAACACCTCCCCTCGAAGTCGTGAGTCTTATATTAATCTGAGTCTTTACATACATTCATCGACCATACCTAAATTACGTATACATTCATGATGTTTTGTCCCATTCAAACCTTTCGTTAAAACATCAGCAGGCATTCGATTAGTACATAAATATTTTAGATCAATTACACCTTGTTCGTACATATCCCGAATAAAGTGGTGCCTCACATCAATATGTTTTGTTCGAGAATGGTAGTTCTTACTTTCAGCTAATTTCATGGCACCCTGATTATCATTGAATAACACAACACTTTCACACTCCATCCCAATATTAACTAGTATATCACGAAGGTACATGGCCTCCTTAGTAGCTTCGGAAAGAGCCATATATTCGGCCTCCGTGCTTGATAAAGCAATAGTCCGTTGTTTACGTGCCTCCCAGCTAATGGGAGCACCGGCTAAAATAAATGCAAAACCAGAATAAGATCTACGATCCACTGTATTTCCACCCCAGTCTGCATCAACCACTCCAAACAAAGGTAAGCCTGTCCTCTCATACACCAATCCATAATCTGATGTACCTTTTAAATATCTTAACACACGTTTAGCAGCCTTCCAATGTTCCATATCATAACTAGTATTGAATTGGCTTAAATAATTCACTGCAAAAGCAATATCAGGCCTGGTTGATACAGCAAGGTGCATTAAGGCACCTATCAAACTTTGATACGGATATTGTTCCATTATTTCATGTTTTACACACTTACTTTTTACTAATTTAACATTAACATCCAGAGGCGTGATGGCAGATTTACATGCACTCATACCAAACCGCTCTAATAGTTTATTCACATACAATTTCTGATTTAAATACACTCTGTTTTCATTATCACGACTAAATTCTATACCTAAACAATTACTTATTTTACCCATATCTTTCATTTCAAATGCTGATGACAAACTTTTCTTTATATCACACATCCAATTAATATCATCCGTTGCTAAAATAATATCATCTACATATATACCAATTAACATGATTCGCTCACCCTTTTGTGCAACAAACACACACGGATCCTGCTGCAACCTTTCAAAACCACAATGCATTAATTTTCTCACTAGTTCTTTATGCCACTGCAATCCAGACTGACGCAAACCATACAGAGACTTTTTCAACAAACATACACTATTAACACATTCATTCAAAGCTTCATGCCAACTTTTAGCTGTCTTCAGTATATTCTTCTCTGTCACTGTTCTTTTCTGTGATCCAACTTTCTCATTAGCGAGTACTCTCTCCAATACATCGCTAAGTTGGTCAGGCACCTCCATGTAAACCTCTTCTTCAAGTGAACCATTCAGGTAAGCTGTTACAACGTCCATCTGGTGGATCTCTAGTCCTAGTTCAGCTGACAAAGCAGCAATGAGTCTTATTGATGAAGTCCTTACTACAGGCGACGAAGTTTCATGAAAATCCTCCCCTGGTCGTTGGGAACATCCTTTTGCGACAAGACGTACTTTCTTGCCTGTACTTTTAGTACTAAGAACAAGTCGACTTCCAATAACTTTTCTCTGTTTCGGTCGTGGTACAATTTCCCATGTTTTATTTTTTAGTTGTGCTAGGATCTCATCTTCAAGGGCAATTTGCCATGCTTTTAAGTCATCACTATTTTCTATTTCATTCCATGTCATTGGTTCTATCGTTGCTATCCCTGCACTTAATTGTTCATCTCTATCTTCAGATTCATTCTCACTATCGCTATTTTCTTGAGCTAAATTATAATTTTTTCGTGGTCTGCCCGCCATGCCAGTACGGATTAGGCGAGGCCTTCCTCTTCCTCTTTTAGGGGGTTCTATTAATTCTTCCCATGAAACAGTTGCGATTCTTTTTCTATCAACATGTCTTCTATTTCTATCAAAATCTGATTCGTCTACTCTTTCAAGTGACCTTCTAGTTCTAACTCTATTTCTCTTTACTCTTAGTATTTTTTGATCTTCACTCTTCGTACTATTATCTGAAACAGGCTCATTCAATTCTATATTCATTTGTTCACTATCTATACTTTCTTCTTCATCAAGTATCTCTTTGTATTCATGTTTAAAAAACACTTCATTTAAGAACTTCACATCACGAGTGATAACAATTTTTCTTGTTGTAGGGTCATGTATTCTATAGGCTTTGGATTGACTATCATAACCCACAAAAATTCCTGACTGTGAACTTGATTCAAATTTTCCTCTCTGCTTTCCTTTATCCTTATAATATACTTTAGATCCGAATATATTCATGAATATTACAGTAGGTTTCTTTCCTTTCCATATTGTAAATGGTATCTCACCGTTTAAGGCAGTAGTTGGACACCGATTCCTAATGTAATTAGCAGTATTAATCGCTTCTGCCCAAAACGCTGGAGGGCTTCCGGCTTGACGCATCATGCATCGCGCCATTTCAACTAATGTTCGGTTTTTCCTCTCAGCAATCCCATTTTGTTGGGGCGTATAAGGCGCTGTCAGTCTTCTTCTAATACCTTCTTTCTTCAAAAAATCATCGAATTCGTTATTCACGTATTCACGGCCGTTATCAGACTGAAGATTCTTTATCTTGTTACCAGTTAATTTCTCAGCATAGGCCTTAAATGTTTTGAAAACATTGAAAACATCGCTTTTATTGGCTATAAAGTAGACTTCACACCATCTCGATTTGTCATCGATGAATGTGACAAAATATTTCTTACCGCCGTAAGACTGAGTCTTCATCGGACCACAAACGTCGCTATGCACGATTTCTAATAACTCGGTGGTACGCTGTCCGCTTGACTTTGGAAAAGGGACACATGCCAGTTTTTCACTTGCACATATATCACATTCAGACAATTTTTCATGATCATTAAATGTTAAGCCATATACTAGACCACTCTTCGACATAGCCTTCAAGTCACGCTCATTGAGATGTCCGAGACGTTGATGCCAAATATCTATAGATTTTTTCTTATTTTCAACGTTACTCGCAGTATTCTGACTCATACGCACATGATATAAATTCCCAACACGATCTGCACGCAAATGAATCTTTCCATTTTCGTCACATACAGTTGCATCATTTTCCTTGAAATGAACCTCGAACCCGCGATCTGTCATTTTCGCTACTGATAATAAATTGGTTCGTAAATCCGATACATAGAATACTTTTTGTAAATTAATCTGGCGTTCTTCACTGCCCGTATCTACTGAAATGCTCACTTTACCCGTGCCGGTTATTTGCGTTCTCTCACTATTAGCCAAATTCAATTCAGAGTTTAATTGTGTAAAATCCTCGATCATTTGTTTTTCATTGCACATATGACCCGTGCAACCGCTATCAATGCACCAAATAGGATTTATTTGCTCACCAAGTAATACATCTTCTGTAGTACTCAATAACATCGTTGTCTTACGCTCATTATCGCCATCGCGTTCTACATGCTGTGCACTCTTTTTATGCTTGCCCGTATATTTGACCTTGCAATCTCTCGCGATATGTCCACGCCGACCACACCTATAACATTCAACATACGCTTTACGGCCATGGTTATCATAGTTCTTTTTCAGATGAGTGTTTTTGTTAATACGTTTGATGAACATAGCACCCTGGTCTACCGTTTGGGATTTACGACCTTCGAAGTCTTCAATAATTTTAACTTTTAACGATTCAGTTGAGGGTAAATCGTCGCGTGATTCTATTGCCGTCCGGAACATAGCAAACGAATCTGGCAAACTGTATAATAATAAAATCGCTAAAAGTTCGTCTATAACTATCAAATCGATTTCTTTCAGCTTCTTGACAGCCTCGAAAAAATCTGCGATATGCTTCTTAAGGTCATCATCTTCTTTCATTCGCGTTAACACCAGTTTCTTCAACAATGATGCTTTTCTCGCCGGCCCGCTTGACTGATACATGGATTTCAATTTATCCCAAATAGCTCGAGAACTTTCTAAACCGTCCAATGCAGCCAACTCGCTCGAACTAACCGCTAATAAAATATCTGATTCCGCTTTGCCGTCCATTTTAAGCCATTCTGTATACTTGGGGTCACTCGGTGGAGGTTTTAAGATGGCACCCGATACATATTCCCATAAATCATTCTTTTTCAGAATAGCTCGCATATGTATCTTCCAAGTATCGTAATTATCACCAGTAAGTTGGTCAATTTTAATAGATGCAGCCATATTTATAAGCTTCTTCAACTTTATAAATGTTTAAACACCACAACAATAACTAATGTCTTTTTAAACCGGTCGACACAGTAATTAGCACAAAGGAAACGTTATCTTTACTTGCGGGGACTCGATGACGACGCGTTTATAACTTTGTTTACGACGAAACTAATATTAGTGTCCAATCACTTCGAATATAGTCTTTTATGCACAAAATCAATTGTTATTCACTTCCTGGGCCCATAACCTGTTGGATTATGAATGAATAGACGATATATACGCGAATATAATTATATTTAAGCCAGAAAGATATTACAATGATATTCAGGCGAACGCGTGTTGACAACTGAACTGAATAAATCGTTTTTTACATATTATATGCCGGGCGGCACTACTCACACACTTCGTACTATCTCAACATCAACCAACATCTATTTTTCATACCCCTAAGTCATAAGGGTTGTTCACTTCTAAATTTCATATTTTCAGGTTTTTTAAATATGACATTTTTTTTTTTTTTTGATGACGTAGTGGAAACTCTTTTTACGAGCCGTCCAACCGGCCTTGGTAGGGCCGGAAGGGATGTGTGAGGCTCGGCCTGGGCAGGCCCCTACTCACTAAAACCACTGCGAAAGCCATCGGCCGCTATGTCGGTGTACCCCGGATCTGTCAGCGACAGGGCACACCAGCGACTGGCCGGTCCTGGCAAAGACCGGACTTACTCCCTCGGAGAATGGGGGCGATCCCGGCAATTAGGACCACCCCGACGACGCCGGGCTTTCAAAAGGGCCGGGTTACCACGCCGACCCCAGCCCGGAACACAGGGGTGCTATTGGAGGCGTAGGAATTGCCTCCGACGCACCCCCGTACGTCGCCTGCGGGGGGAGGGAGCATCAGCCGCCCTCTCCCTTTCCCGCTGAGATGCCTCCTTCGTGGACATGACCGTCTCACAGAAGGAGGACACCGCCAACCAGGACCCATCACTCTCGAGCATCTTCTCCACGACACTCGAAAGCGACAGGTCCACTCCGCCGAGAGCCGCCACAAGGTCTTGGCGCTGCGCAGCCCATCTCGGGCACACCTCGAGGGTGTGCTGGGCCGAGTCCACCGCAGCGCCGCACTCATGGCAGCCTTCTCCCGGCTCTCTCCTGGCCGTCCGACACAGGTAGTAACCAAAGCACCCGTGCCCGGTTAAGACCTGCGTCAGACGGAAAGTGAGGGGTTTGCGTTTCCGCCTCATCCAACGCTCTAGGACCGGGCGAAGCGCTGCCGTTGTACGTCTACCGTACGGCTGCTCCGCCAGGTCCTCCCCCCACTCCCGCATAAGGCGCTCCTCCCCCTGCCGACGAACCGCTCGGATCTCCTCCGACGAAGGGTTCTCGCCGAGTGCCCTCCTACCCGAGACATAGGAGAACAACTCGGCTCGAACCGACGCCACGAGATCCCAAGGCGGATCGCCAGCAAGGGCAGTCGCTGCGGCCCAGGAGACCGTACGGTACCCCCTAATCACCCTCACCGCAGGAGCCCTTTGCGCAGAGCGCAGCAGGGCTTTGGTCCTGCGGCTCATTGGGCGATTAGCCCAAACGGGAGCACCGTACAGGGCTATACTCCGACAGACCCCAGAGTATAGCCGCCTGCAAGCTGCGCTGGGTCCTCCGAGGTTCGGGAGGAATTTTCCCAGCGCACCTGCCGTCCTCACGACCTTCGGCCCCAGTTCCTTGAAATGAGGCACGAAGGTCCACCCTCCGTCAAGAGTGAGCCCCAGATATTTCATGGTGGGACTCACCCTGACCCTCCCTCCTCCAATGAGGAGGGTGGCACCCGGCGGGGGTCCTTTCCGCCCAGTCCCGCGGAAGAGGAGGGCTTCGGTCTTGTATATGACATTTAAAAAAAAACATACAACCCAAAATTTTTACTTATTTATCACCAACCCTTGTTTTTTATATGGCGAAACGTTCGCCGGGTCAGCTAGTAGCCTAGTATATATACATTTTAAATATTGTTGTTAGTTTGTGATTCACCTGTATAGTGTTGTGTTATCTGTGATTGTTTGCTAGCGGGTACAGCGGTGACGAGAACTGCGCGCTGGGAGGAGAGTTGGTTATAGAGGAGGCGCCCGACGACCCGCCCCACAAGAGATCTAAACATCATGTACGTATATATTATATTATTATTATTAAGAATCGAACTTACTTGTGTTATTAATGAGAATGTTTATGAGGGTGTATTGATTTATGGATGAACAAGTTTTCAATAAAATAGCTTAGATATTAGCAGTGCCGTAACTAGGCTTTTATGCACCCGGTGCGAGCTTTCAAAATTGCGCCTTTAAAAAATGCTCTAACCAGGCTTTGAAAATAAAATAGACAAATGTGCATACAAATAGATCTATCTATTTATTGTTTACCAAAGTAACAAAGTATGGGAATAAGTATATAGCTATCACGCATGAGATAAAACTAGATACTAGTCTGGTTATTTCTGCTCCCCTCCAGGGTCTTCCCTGTGCCTTTGCACTGCTGGCACCGCTCTAGTTACGGCATTGGATATTAGCATGACATATAAACTTCAATTTATTACAAAAAGTAAGAACAATTTAATAAGAACGGCACCTGATAAAATTTTGTATAAAATCACGTGACACAAACGATACATGTAGCTGACGGCTGTTTAACATTTTTATTACACACAACGCGGACATTAGCTAGTACTAATATATTCATTTAATATTTTCCAGGTGTCCGATATAGAGGATCGGCGCGCGTATTGACCGCGCGTCGCACGGGCGCCTCGCGTCAGCCGACCGTCCTCCCATTGGTGGAGACGTCTCAAACAGCAGCGTCGCGTCATCAACCGAGCCCGTGATTGGTCGGCGAGGTGTCAGGACCGCAGCACAGTCACAACTATGGCGGGAAAAAGACGCGCGTCACGACAACACCGCGTCATCGGTTCGTCAGTGTAGCAATAAATTGAACTATAAGAATCTTTATTTTGAACCCTACAGTGTTAAGCGTAAAGTGTAGTTTCGAGTGATTTGTTTTTTTTTTTAAGTTTACGCTAAGCGATGGCATATTGCGTTATTTTCGTTTACGGTTTTCGTTGTACGTCAGTTGTGTGTGTACAGTGTGGCAGATGTATGTCACATTGATGGGATGTATATTTGTGGACGACTGTACAGATGTTTTGTAATCGAAAGTGCAATCGTATAATATATAATTTATTACCTCTAGCATAGAAGCATATCGCCGACCAGCATTACAGCACTTTGACGAAGCAACCAATTTTAAAATTAATGAATTTGACTCGGTCAACAATATATTCCGTTTCCGGATAATAATATTATTTTGTATTATAGGATTGTATTCTCAGTATGTGACATATGTGGAATACAATGTTAGCTCGATTGATGCTTTGTATTTAATGATATTTCTGTTTAATTGAAATAAAAATAGATGAAAACATACGAATTTTATGTCGAGTACAACATATTGAAATTGTTATAAAATTGATACATAACTAAATATAAATATTACTAGTAAATCTTAAAGAAACTAATTCACTAAACGATTTTGACGAAATTTTTGATGAATAAATAAAATTCTTAAAGCATCCCAATGTATTGAACGTTATATTGTGTTGTATCTGAATCCATTAATAAACAAATGACCCTGGGACCATATATGGGGTTCTTAAGCCCTTAAGGATACAGAAAATAATATTTGTTGAATATAGATTTATAATAATTTTGGGCTTTATCAGCAATAACCAGATTTCAGTCTCATATAAGACTAATTGGTATCCCATGTATGAAAACTGTTAAACTAGCCCTAGTACTACAAGTTTGCCTCCAATCTATGACACCTTATGTACGAATCTAATCGGCAAACTGCCCGTTTTTCGTCTGTTATGCAAACTTGTAGTAATGTCGATCGACCCATAGAGGCTCTGACACAAAGCGATTAATTAATACACAATTCACATAATAGTAGACTAAGTTCAAATAAACATTGTTAAAACAGTTGACATTATTGTTGAATAGTGGAGGTTTTTTTAGGAAAATTTTTAAATAGAACAATTAATTCGTTTTGCTTGATAGATAAATGAAAAAAAAAAAACAAGATGGCCGTCGACACTTGGCGCGAAATGGTATGCTTTAAAATATATGATTCTAATTAAATCTTGAATTGGATTCAAGTCGAACAGATTTTTATAACGAGTAAGTTAGTTGACGAACAAATTAGTTATTTTATTTTTTATTTTTATATATATGAATGAATTTCCGTCAGTATTCCTCGCTTCAGTGGTGTCATTTCATATTAGACAGTTAGACGATCACACGTGACGTCTTATAGAAGAGATCACGCCCGGTGAGTCGAGAGCTTTATCTTAACGAATCTTTTGGTTGCAATATATTCACCCAGCGACATCTGTGTACGGAGCTGGCCGTTATGTAACCGTCGGTGTCGAACTATAATTGATGTAATGATAATAAATAAATGAAAAAGAAAAATAAAAATTGTAAATTTATGATTATATTAGCGTTATGTATACATATGTTACATTAATTAGTTGAAAAGGAGCACTTAGTATGTGTAAACTTAGCATTTAAATGGTGAAAATATCTGAGGCTTTAGCGTTCTGTATCTGACGCTCCCGTTTCGAATACACGCAGAGTTCGCTCGGTGACGGCTTAGCCGGCGGGCGGTTTAGTATATGTATGTATGTTGGTGTCTCCCTCCTACAGTCTAACGGCTGGACCGTCTGCATGTGTGCGTGCGTGTATGTGTGTGTGTGCGCGTTACATTACAACGTCTGTTATGTTTTGAGTTTCATCAGAACAGGTCCAGTGATTAGATTAATCCGGTATCCGAGGGAGCGTTGTGAGACGCGTCTTGCTTCCTACATAACTATAACGAGCGTCGTCGCAGCCCGCGCTCATAAACTTTGTAATTATATAATATTAAAGAGTGACGTGGGGCGGCTGTGAGACTCTCCTAGCCATGTAGGTAGCAAAAGTGAAAAAAATATATTATATATAATATATAAGGCATTGAAAATGCTATAGGTATTTGTCTATATAACAATCTTGAACCATATGTACCTTAGACGTATAGTTTTAAGGTCGGTTTTCGATTGGCTGAGCATGTGCCCGTAAGTTATTTGTGTAAATTGCATATATAACATGCTCCACGCGATGTCCGCGGTACGTGTATATCGTACGGCTATATCTGATTTATAATTGACAAATTTTAAGAAATAAACGTATTTTATCTCCCTCCCGTTTGATTTTATTTATCCTTATACTCTAAATAAAAAGTAAACTAAACTCTAAATAGAAAGTTTAAAATATAGGCATCAATAATAATATTATGTTCTTGTAATATGAATTTAGTAATTTGATTTTATTTATATTTATTTGAACCGATTGTTTATTTGTAAGTATGTTTGACCTATTGACTGATTTACAAATAAAACGAGTTATCTAAGTTCTTGATATTGCTAATTAAAATTTTCTCAAATTTTATCAACAAAATTCAGGGGGCTTCTTAATAATAACTCAATATTTTTTATTAAATTTTATTGTTTGTAAGTAATGTTTGTTAGTTTTATGCTATAAGTAATATGTTACAATTGACTTAAAAACTGTTTAAAACTGCCAGTTACAATAGAATTAGTAAGCATTATTAACAAACAAATGGTTATTGTTGGACAATAATTCCAATCATTTTGTATATACCTAGTAATTTGAATATTAAAAGAACATAATAAATACCTATTTATACTATATTATAAGGAAAAAACTTCTCCCAGTTTTCGGGGTACAGTTTCAGATTTGTTTTTCAATGTTCAGCTTTACTTCCAGTAATCCTACAAAATATCTGAAGCCACTATTTATAGTTTTCAAATACAGGTTGATACTTAAATGTTATCATTAAAAAATGACAATGGTTCAGTATTGTAATTAATTATTATCAGTCATAAAAATAATTGTAATGATTATTAGGTATAGTCTATTATTATTAGTACGGCACGGATGGCGCAACTTGTAACACAAGTTAACTCTATCTGTTTTGTCTTTAGTCTGATGATGTAGTTTTCTTTAATATAATTTAAAGCTTGCAATCATATCAGTGCAATGCAGAATTATATTTGTACTTAATTTCCAGATCGTCGAATCCATATAAAAGCAGTTTATCTTAATTCTGTCCAAATAATATTTTATGACGAATGTTACTATGAATGGATGTATGTGTTGATGATATATCATTAATTTCAATGAAACTTCTGAAATGAAAATTCTGAAGAGCACAAGATTATCTTTACCATGAGTTACATTGTCAAACGAAAATTGTTTTTGTTTCATTCATAAATCTGTATTTAATTTGAGAATGCGAACTAGTACTAAAGTTGCAAAGGAAATTCATATAAAGTCACACACAAAAGATGACTTGAATTATCCATTATGATATCAAAGAAAGAAAACCGCAGGCAGAAGTTTGTATATTATAAAATTATTAATTCTATAAATGAAGTTGTAGTCTTCGAGGAAACATATGTTTACAGAATAATAATTCTTAGAACAAAGAGATATTGTAACTAGATTATTCTTGGCCGTTGATGTCAGGGTGAAGTTTTTATCATATAGACACGTGGAATAGAGTTATCAACAGGTTACAGAGGCGGTGCAAGGTGACCATTAGTACTAGTAATCCTCGTCAGCCCTTTGAAACATTTTGACTTGGCTCATTTTATACATATCATACACTGGACAATCTTCCAATATTTTCCTACCTGGAAATATATAATTATATGGGAATACCCAATTAATTTATGGAAATACCCAATAAAATTTTGATATCTAATAACACTTTAATAATGATGTTACAAACGTAAACAAAATTGTTAACTTTTTAATATATCTTTTTGTATGTTTATGTGAATGAAAAATCGGGTCAATTTAATTTACAATTCCTTAAGTGGTGGCCTTCATTTGTAATAAAAGTGCACGATATATTCCGCAAATGAAAAATTTAATAAATGTATGTTTAATTTATCCAAATAAAATACGAAATAAACAATGTTTTTAAAATAGAATAATAAAAATTTTATTTCATTTGTTACAAAATTCTAAATTTTTCCATTGAGGGGTTATCATAACAGTATTTGAATATATTCGTAACTACGTCAATTAAGTTTGTAAATATAAAAAAATACGTATGAAAAAACCCTACACACGTATTAATCTATCTCAATTGACCTGTAGGTCAGGGCGTAGACTTATAATATTCTGCAATCGACGAATACACTGTAAATAAAATAATCTCACTGTACACTATGAATGTGTTCATATTGGTTGTGTTTTTCGGGAGTGCTCTAGCTTTTCCATTTGAGATAAATGTTAACTGGCCCTTCATAGTAGCGGATGAACAAACAAATAATATGGAAGCGTTTTTTAAAGATCAAAAGATTCAGGCTGAAAAAGCGTTCACGTCCAGCATTGAAGAGGCTAGAAGAATGAAGAATTCAGTGTTCAATTACTTCGAACTTAAACAAAGGGAAATCAGTGATGATTTCTATGATTACGTGGAAAGTGTTAAAGAAAGTGGTAGAAAATTTTCTGATTCATGGTCATTTCTGCCGAGTGAGGAGGCGGGAGACCGAATGGAGAACCCGGATATGGTTCTTTCAGTGCCTTCGATCATAATTCGTAATGGTTACCCTTGTGAAACACATATTGTTATGTCCCAGGGTTACTTGTTGAATATCCATAGAATCCCACGTTCCAAGAATGGAGGAGGCATCCCCAAGAAGACGGTAATTTTACATCATGGTCTCTTCGCGAGTTCAGCTGATTGGATCCTCAACGGACCGGAAAAAAGTTTAGCATACATCCTAGCCGACGCCGGTTACGATGTATGGATGCCTAACATAAGGGGAAATAAATATTCTAGAGAACATGCGTGGTTGAAAACTAATTCCAAGTCCTTCTGGAACTTCTCCTGGCACGACGTGGCGGTATACGACGTACCTGCTATCATAGATTACATATTGAAGGAAAAGGGCGAAGGTACAAAATTAACATACATTGGCCACTCCATGGGAACCACAATACTATTCGCAATGTTGACCATGAGGCCTGAATACAATGATATATTAACCGCTGGTTTCGCTCTAGCGCCGGTCGTTTTCTTATCAGATATAAAATCACCAATAAAATCTTTGAGCACAGTAGCCAGTAACGTGGCTCAAATGGAAATGTTATATGGTTCGTATGAGTTTATACCAAAAAATTCAGTTTTAGGCAAAATGACACAGTCTTGTGATGTGGACGGTCGTGACGCTGCAGTTTGTAAAAATCTCCTATTCTACATCTGCGGCTACAACGAGAAGCAATTCAATAAAACGCTGTTACCAATTTTCTTGTCACACATAGGTACAGGAACCTCGTGGAAAACAGCAGTACATTTCGCACAGGAAGTAGTTGTTGGTGGAAAATTCCAACAATTCGATTATGGTACCGATTTAAACCTCCGAGTGTACGGCAGTAAAGCACCGCCACAATATGACCTCGATAAAATAAAATTACCTCTTACGTTATTCTGGGCTGAAAACGATTTGCTATCGAGCGAAGCCGATGTCAAAGAACTGTACAAGAGATTACCACCGACCACGCAAATATACAAGATATCTGATCCCGACTTCAATCATTTAGATTATCTGTGGGCGATCGATGCGCCCACATTACTCACTGATAAGATTTTATTTTATTTGGAACAAGTTTACTCTACTTTATAAAAAATATTTACAAATTAATTAAATTTGTAGTAGGGAAACTAATGTTCATATTAAATTAAAGTGTACGGCTTTATATAATAGGTAAATATATTTTATATAACAAGAGTTTTTAGGTTACAAGTCGTAAAATTGTTACTTAGATTTGCTACTGTAAGATATATGAAAGAATATTATGTAAATACAATGTATTATTAGACTTTTAAGTTTCATGATAAACTGTATAAAAATGTTTTTTTTTTCTTTTAATCCAAACTTCACTTCATTACTCGCTTTCAGTTTCAATAATAGTTTTTTTTTTATTTTCTTAGTCTGTCTATTTTACATATTAGTTATTGTACGTCTTTGGACCTTGTCACATGATTTGCTATATTTTACTTTACTAAAAAACAAACATACGTTGTATGTACTTGAACAAATAAACCGTTCTAAAGTCTTATAAAATAATATTAAAGAATTGGTAATTATTTGCTATTATTTAAATAGCTACGGTATAGTGAAATTTTGCTAAAGATGTTCTTAACTACTTCTGTTATAATAGTCTAATATTAACTTTTAATTAGCTATGGAAACATATTATTTTGAAATTCAATAGCCTCTCCTGCAAGTTCATAATTAAAAGCAAATTATGCAAACTATAACAGTAGAGGAGCTTACACAACATCGAAATTCGAAATCATACCTAAAGTTCCTTCTGAGGCTGTTGGAATTGAAATCAGTTCAAATATTTGTACTACGCAAAGGAATATTCGTAAACTATTCAGATCTCTATCCCAAACTATTTAGTCCAATGAGAAAATATAAGCGAGCTTATGTAGACTGTGCACTAAGTTGGGAATAGAAGCCAATGCAAATGAGTTTTGCAGTTTTACTAATTTTGTTCACTATTTGTTTTACTTCTGTTCTTCACTATTTCTGTTTACAGATTTTCTTGCTTGTCTCTTAATGTGTGCAGTCTTTTTTTCCTTTATTTGTTTCTACCAAAAATATTTCTGATAGTTATTTATTTCTGACTATACTTAATGATTACAAATTGATTCAACAGTAAAAGTATAAATACAAAATTGTTTGACCATCCAACGTATGATGTTTTAGAATCGTTTTTTATTTTATTTTATTCTAAAGGAGGCAATCGAGCAGACGGCCTACCTGATGGAGGTAGTACCGTCACCCATAGACATACGTAGCATAAAAGATGTCGAGGATGTGTCGCCACCCTTGTTTAGGGACGAGGCGGAGGAAAAAGTAGGAAAGGGAGGGAAAAAGCGAGGGGTAGGAAAGGACCGGTATAGATAAAGGGCAGTCGGTTCACCCACTCATCGGACAAAACGCAACCATTTAAAGCTACTCCACTTCGATCTTCTGTGAGAGGGCGGTACTGTCGCGTCAGCCCATGTACGAGCTTGACCGCATCTAGGCTCTACCACCTATATAAAGTATATATGTTCATATACATTGTATAAATATTGTTTAAACAAAAGGTGTTAATGCAACTGAGTTCCGTGGACATCAATTCACACAATTTGATCCGACATAATATAATTTGTCTTTGAATTAATTTAAATTTGAAATACGTATATTTATGTATCTATTTAGGGAAACATTCGAGGAAGTATGTTTTAGACCAAAAACATGGGTGTGATTTCGGAACTAATACTTTAGTAGTGTGTAAAACGTGTTTGAAACTATGGAAATTGGTTGGATGTGGGTATTAAACAAGGTCCTATTAATTAGCATCGTAAGAGGATAACATTACCAGTTTGCTTTGAAATATATGGCATCAGCGATTGTAATAGTGTTGTACAAATTAAAAAAAGGAAAAAAAAATTAAGCAATTGTTTCTATGATGTAAGAACAAGAAAATATTTTTTCATTTAGGAAGTAGTAAAAGATTATATACTTTATTAAAATAATTGTGGGGAGTTTGGGTTATTCAGGGAATTTCCCATAGAACCTTTCCTATTAAAGGTCCACATGCTTTTTCCTGCAAGCATTGCAAGAAAAACATAATATGAAAATTGCAGTTTTAGTCGCTGTAAAGTTTTTGTTATATAAAGCATAAAAATAATATTATGTTTTCCTTTAAATTATCTTGTATCTTTCAACAATTCGAACTAAACAATTGAAAAACTAGCATTTAATTATAATAAATTACATAGCCAATAATATAATTTAATAATATGTAATATTATGCGTCATGACAAGAAAGTAATGGTAAGTACATATTCAATGCACTGCAAGTGGTGTAGTTATATCAGTGAAGTGTCTGATAAATATTGATATAAGAATAGTACAATATTATACTTACTTTAAAATCTTCCTATTTCCTTATATCTAAGTCAATTATTTATTATAAATATTCTATAATAAATTGTAAACTTCAAACCAAAGAACCCGTTTTTAATTTTTTATTTTGTATTCACATTATATTTTTGATGTTTTACATCAAGTAGCTATGTACATTTGAAATTTGCATTTAAGGTTCTATACTAATAAATAATAATAGTACTAATAACTGTACTAATAAATGCTTCCTCTTTAATTCTTTAATAGCGGAGGGTTCGGTGGGCATTAGATTTCAAAAGATTGATTGATGGATAAAGGAACACATCTTTTGTGTTCTTGATTCTTCTTGGTTTGTTTGCTGCTTAATTTCTTAAGTTTGTTGTTTAACGTAAATAAAGAGCTAATATAATTGATAATTAAGTGCTCTAAGGTGTATGAGGTGGTGTTCGTAGTTTAAACTATCAAAAATTTCTATAGAGTAAACGAAATACTGTAAAAAAATTACAATTTCATTGTAGTTCTTTCAAGGGAAGATAATGTGACCAGTCCAAGAGCGAAAAGTTCATAATTCGTTAGATACATCTTAAAAATATATAAATAGCAAAGTTTCATACAATTTTCTCAGTTATTTAAATAATTGCGTAAATTCCGGAGTTAAATTCCACCCTTCATTTGGAACGCAGTACAACACATTATTGTATAAACTTTAGGGTTTCGTGAGTACGGTCGACGATTAATCAGTAATCTCTTGGTCTTTCAAATAACACGGTGTTCAACTGAAAAATCAGGTCGTAATACTACATCTTTACTATTCCATGGAACAATAGAAAAATCGGAGTAAACATCTTTTCACTAACTAAATATAAAACATGGCAAAAAACCCTTTTGAAATCTATCAATTTAAAAATTCTATGAACTGTAGCTTGAATCACGATTCATATCAACAGTTTAAAATAGAAGTATAAGGTTGTTTATTAATATGAAATAAACAATGATGTCTTACCCTTAATTACATATTATGATACATTGTTCTGTGAAATTAGTTATTATGCGTCATTTATAATATACATCTTGTAGTTAATACAATTCGATCGACCCGACAAGCGTTGATTGAATAATGTAATTATAGCATTATTTTAAGCGTTTTAAATAAACAAGATAAATTGTGGTGTAACGGGCACGTCATACGCAGATAAGGCCTTTTTCGGACTGGGTTGGACAAGTAAACACGTGCAGATTTTATACATTTGGAGTCATTGCATGTGAAGATAAATCAATTAGGTTTTAATAATTTCAAACTGTACTTATTATGATGCAAAAAATATTCTAGAGCTAACATTAAAGCATTCAAAAATGTAGATTTAGTTATATGAATTGATATGAAATCAGCAATATTTGTATTTCAATAATATATCAAGAATTTTGATTCTCACATTTAGACAATGGTAGTTTGGAAGCAGTGACGTTATGTGATGTTTTTTTATGTGTTTGTTAATTATATTTAAGTATTAATATATCAAGCAGATAACGGTGTTGTTAAGTCGACAATAATTAGCTACTAAATAAATTATAGTTATCGTGTTAAGTAAGACAAAATGAAACTAATATTATTCGCATTACTATGCGTATTTTATTATTTTAAAACTACATACCCACTCCCGACGATTCGGTTACTTTTCAGCAACCGTGATCACGGGCAGACGAGAAATGACCGAAGTGTTCGGAGTAAACCGAATAATATTGGTTTCATTTAATGAATACTTGCGAAAGTCTTAGATCTCATTATGTTAAGAGTTTGTAAACTACTTTGTTTTGCATAGTCTTTAATTGTTTAATATTTTATTAGGTAACGGTGAAGTAAACTCAATACAGATGCTTCCGGCTTTCGATCTCGTTAATAGTTAATATATTATTGCTATCATTACATATTGGTTTACAAGAGATGGTTAAAAAAATAACTACTTATATTTGATTATTATTATAAACTTAGGCGAGAGAGCTAAATAAGGGAATAAGTTAGGTTAATAAATTTACGGTAGACGGTGAACGAAAAACATCATGAGGAAACCTGGACTTATAATTTCACAATTCTAAGTTTGAAATCACCAGCCAGTCTGGAGCAAGCGTAGTGATTAATGCTCAAACCTTCTCCATGTGAGAAGGCCTTTTCTCAGCGGTGGGCTCTGATAGACTGATGAAGACGGCGAATAAATTTTATTCAAGTTACGGTGTACTTCTATAATAATCACAATATATATTTGTATGGTAATAATATATTTAATTCAAGAACAGTATATATATCTAAGTATTCGAAATTACCTAGCTTTCATATCTTTATAACTGAAACAAAAAATGTTTAGAAGTATTATATAGACATTCTTTTAATCTAATATTACAATGAATTTCCTGGTGAAATAACATGTTTACGGAAATTAATATCGAGTGTGTCATTAAACTGATAAAATTAAAAGATAATTGTGCAGTTGAAGAATCAAAAACTATATAAGCTTATACATTCTTGATTACTATCATAAATCACAATGTCTCTAATACAAAAAGTTTTGTGTCTGTGCTTAATAGGGTTGTCGCAAACGGCAAATTTAACATATGACGAGTTAAAACGGGAATTAGAAAGTTATATTAAAAATAAAGAAAAAGAAATAAACCAAAGATATCGGCCGTTGTATCATGTGGCACCCCCAGTCGGATGGATGAACGATCCCAATGGATTTGCTTACCACAATGGACTATTTCATCTTTTTTACCAATTCTACCCATATGATAGCAAGTGGGGCCCAATGCATTGGGGCCATGTTACTAGTACTGATCTTGTTCATTGGAAACAGAAGCCAACTGCTCTATTACCTGAGGAGGAGCAATGTTTTTCTGGAAGTGGTATCACCTATGACAATAACCTGGTATTAATGTATACTGGGCATGTTCTAACCGAAGAAGAACCTTTTTATAAGCAAAGTCAATATCTTGCTTTCAGTGACGATGGAGTTAACTTTGAAAAGTTCAGATTAAATCCAATTATTACAAGCCCTCCAAACAATTCACCTGATTTTCGAGATCCAAAAGTTTGGAAGCACGAAAATGATTTTTATGCGGTTATTGGCAGTAAAGAAAATGGTAACGGAACTGTACTATTATATAAATCCAGTAATTTGACAACTTGGGAATATTTATCAGTACTCGCACAATCTACTGGGGAATTGGGATACATGTGGGAATGTCCAGACTTTTTCGAATTGGACGGGAAATTTATTTTATTGATGTCACCTCAAGGAGTAAGAGAAAATGGTGATAGATATAAAAACGTTTATCAGACCGGCTACATGGTGGGAACTTTTGATTATGATAACAATATTTTTGAAACAGATGGTGAATTCCAAGAACTAGATTATGGTCACGATTTTTATGCTGCCACTACCACGGAAGCTAAGGGCATTAGATACCTTACAGCTTGGTTTAGTATGTGGGAAGTGCCCCATCCAGAGGATGTTGATGGTTGGATAGGTACAACTACGTTAGTTAGGGAGCTGAGGTTAGTTAACAATCGTTTAATTATGAAACCGGTTGAAGAAATTGTTGATCTAAGAGAAAGTTTAGCACTCCAGGGGAATCTTTCAACCAATCAGGTGCACGACTTTGGTAAAGCGGTAGAAATTTTAATTGAAAGTAATCTAAATCAGAATATTGACTTGTTATTAAATGGACTAAACGGTGGAGGGCAAGTGCAATTAAAATATGATGCAACAAATCGTACAGTTTCTGTGATCAGAGATGGAGAGGTGAGACGAGTAGAGTGGGCGCCTATTGGGTCTCAAATTTGGCGAATTTTCCTGGATACTAGCAGTTTAGAGTTATTCTGTGGAGAAGGTGAAGTAGTTTTCAGTAGTCGAGTTTATCCTCTCGGTGGGTGGAGACTTACAAATAATAGTCCTCAGACACTTAAAATTACAGCTTATACTCTAATGAGAAGTGTCCCGGGAAATTCCAGCATCCGAAATAAAAGTTTCAGTGGAACGATAATCAGCGTTATCACCTTGCTAGCCTTGCACATGAACAACTATTCATAAAAATAACGTATTAATATTTCTTGATGATTATAGAAGAAATTAATATTTATTTTGAGTGTTACATTGTTCCTTTGTTACAAATGATTGTTACAGATATACCAGTGCGTATTTTGTAAAAAGGTGAATTTTGTGATTAAATTTAAATACATGTTTTTAATTGGGGACAAGTATTATTTAGTAAAGTTTTTACAAAGTATCTAAAGTTGCTATTTGTGTATTAATTTTATTTTTATTATTAAGATTAAATTTATTTACAATTATAAATGTTTACTTTAACGAATTAGTTTTTCTAATGCCTTCTAAAGACAAATTCTATTATATAAAATGTATATTACCGCCAAAAAATCTTATTTAAACGTTATAAGCAAGTAAATTTTTATATTTATTTTATCTTTCAATGTGAAAAAGAAGAAATACCATTGACAAATGAAATTAAAAGCGGATTGACAAAAAACCTCCAAAGTTATCGTCATAGATTCTTGTTACTACTACAACATACGAAATTACTGATATTTATAGAGTTACAAACATGTTTAAGTTAATGTTCCATTTTGAATATGTTAAAGAACATTGTCCTTGTTTAGTTACATTATATAGAAACCAAAGCAAGCGACAGCTCAGCGAAAATTTGAAGATTAGCCCTTAGACATTGATAATAATAAAATAAAGACAGATAACTCAGACCTAATACCTCCGGACATATAACTACAGAAAATCACACGACCATCAATGGCATGGACGCCCTACTTTTTCATGTTCATTCATCCAGTACTCTCTCTTTAATGATGTCCTAAGCTGAGGTCTGCCTTTTTAGAGTCACCATTGAGAAAGGTCCATACACGGGCCCTTCATTCCGAACTTCAAGAGTAGATCCCCAGCGGACCTCCCCTACCCGGTACGATTTATAAGCCAATAACATTAGGAAAGTAGACAAACATTTTTTCAAAATAATTACAAAGAAACAGATAAACACAATTAAAGTCATTACAATTTCAACATTTCTTTAAATACAAAGTTAATTAGAATAATAAATTTATACGATCAAAAGAAAAATTACACTGTATTTATTATTAAGTTTTGCTAATTATTACAGTCATTTATTTCATAATTTTTCAGTTTATTTTCCAAAAGAGTAATCAAATTTCCTTTTCTATCATCAATAAAGATTTAACTTTGACATATCTATATTTTATCACATTGATAACAATGACTCCGTGTGGTGAAAATGTTAAAATTATCTTAAAGATATATCTTTCTTTCATTTGACAATTCTTAGTTTTATATAAAATATATTTTGAAGGTACGTGTGTTTGTTATTGCAATATTTGCTTAATATAATAATTATCATTTAAATTTTAAATAGTGTCATAGTTATAAAAACAGGTTTCTTTATTCTAAATGGGTGCCTTAACGTAAATAACAAAGCAGTCATAACAATATAATAGCCATTAACCAATAACCTCTGAAGTAGGTTATTATAAATGTAAGTCAAGTTATAACAAGCACATGCTATTTATCCCCAGATTTATAACTTCCTCCTTTCCAGTTCCCTTCATAATTTCTTCAAAGTCGCTGCTAGACTACAGCATAAACGTAAGTGTATGTTTAAATTTGGGTGTCAAATGTAGGATACAATTTTTTATTTACCTATATATAGTTCCCATCTTTGGTATGTTTGTGTAGAATAGTAAGAGAGTATATTTTCGATGTTCTAATGTGTGGTGCAACCTCCATACAAGTTTCACTTGGGTTCTAGAAATCTTTGTCTATATATAAACGATAGATAGGTACCCGTTAAACCTATACCTGGGTCGTAAGTCCCAGGCACTGTTGAAGCTCCTCTCCCTGTAAAGCGATGGACCCGGCATCCGCACGGTGTGTCCATTGAATGATAAGAGGTTTCATCACATTTCAAAATAAAACGTATAACTTTACACTTACCTTTTTGCCATGATTATAAACGGTTTTAATAATAGTATTAAAATCTGTAACGTATCGCTTCTGATAAATTCTTTTGCGAAGACGTGAAAACTGTCTTTGATTTTTGAGTCAATATCTTGTAAATTTTGAGTCAATTATCTAAAACATAAATAAAATTGCTTTTTGTTCTCCAGTCATTATGTGGATATATGTGTTTATAGTTTAACTAAATAATATTCAATACTTTTTTATTTATTCTTAATTCTTTATTCGTAATGATCAAAATTCGAATCTTTTGAAAATATTTTAACACTAACTCGAGTGTAAAACTGAAAGTTTGTAATCCATGTCTAGAACTTTTCATTAATATTCACGGTGAGTTAGTAAAACAGTTTTTTTTATCAAATAAAATCGAATTAGATTAGAATTATCTTCTCTAAGATTATTATTTTTTTAAATATATTAAATATGTACACTAGATAATGGATTTATTAAATAAAAAAAAATAAGGTAGAAAAGCCGGAGGCAAAAAGTTGTATTAAAGGTAAAATTTGCGTAAGTAAACACTCCTTGTACCATATTATTAGATAACCATTAAAAGACAAACAAAACACTCAATAGATATCGGATATCTTTAATAAGAAGTGCAGGTTGATTCACTGTCAGTAGTTTCATTAACGACATGGAATTTTATCGCTTTATATCGTTCACATGCTTCTTAGCGTTGGCCTATTCAAAAAGTTTAGACAATAATTATGAAACTGCCAAAGACGATTTAGAAAACTACATACAGAATAAGAAGAATGAAATTAATCACAGATTCAGACCTCTGTACCACGTCGTACCTCCAGTTGGCTGGATGAATGATCCAAATGGATTTTCATACCACAATGGAGAGTTTCATCTCTTCTATCAATTCTATCCATATAAAAGCGAGTGGGGACCTATGCATTGGGGACATGTTACCAGTTCAGATCTCGTAAATTGGAAACAAATGCCAACAGCTCTTCTACCGGGAACAGAACAATGTTTCTCCGGTAGTGCTATAAGCCAGGGGGATGTTTTGACATTAATATACACTGGCCGCAGAACCATTGATGAACAGCCTTATTTCAACGAGAGTCAGTACCTCGCGTTTAGTGATGATGCTGTAAATTTTCATAAATATGAAGGAAATCCCGTAATTCCCAGTGCACCCAATAACGCAGCCGATTTTCGCGATCCCAAAGTTTGGAAATACGGAGATGAATATTACGTAATCATCGGTAGTAAGACTGCAGATGAAAGAGGAAGGGTTCTTTTGTATAAATCTAAAGATATGTTTGATTGGGAGTTTTTAACTGTCCTAGGTGAATCGAACGGACCTATGGGATATATGTGGGAATGTCCAGATTTTTTTGAATTAGATGGGAAATTTGTTTTACTTTTTTCACCTCAAGGAATCTCACCACAAGGAGACAGATATAAGAACACACATCAGACTGGATATATTATTGGAAATTTTGACTATGAGACTTATCAGTTTATTCCTGAAGTTGAATTTCAAGAAATAGATTATGGTCATGATTTTTACGCAGCCACAACAACAGAAGCGAACGGAAAACGATATCTGTTAGCTTGGTTTAGTATGTGGGATGTACCTTATCCTGAAGACGTCGATGGATGGGCAGGTATGATGACTATAACAAGAGAACTTAATTTGGTCAATAACAGAATACTTATGAACCCGGTATCTGATATGCTGAATTTGAGGACAGAAGTTGCTCTTAAAGATGAAGTGAAGTCTGGACAAGTACACGAATTCGGAAAAGCAGTGGAAATAATTATTGAGAGCGACTTAGATAAAAAAATTGATTTATTATTTGATGGTCAGGAAGGTGGAGGTAAAGTTTGGCTACGATGGGATCCTGATATCGGTAAAGTTGTAGTAGATAGAGGATCCGGAGATATAAGACAAGTAGAATGGAAACCTTTCGGTTCGACTAAATGGCGAATATTCTTGGACAGCTGCAGCTTAGAACTGTTTTGTGGAGAAGGTGAGGTTGTACTCAGTAGTAGAGTATATCCATTGGGTGGATGGAGATTAGAAAATCAAAGTCCCCAAACGATACGGGTTGAGGCTTACAATCTGCGAAGAAGTGTACCTGAATAGTTGATTTATAAGAATATGATGAAAAAAAATCAAATAAAATATATTCTGAAATATTTAATTTGTAACTTAATTTGTATAATAAATATATGATAAGTTGTAGAATGATACGTAGGTACGTAAATCTCATCGCAAAAACCGATTTTTTCATTAAAATATTTAAAGAATAAATCCAAAGTGTTTAATTTAAAATGTATAACGTTTTTAATTAAACTATTTGACGAAATCTCACTGGAGCTTAATACATAAATTGATAAAGTTTGAAACGATAAAGCTGTCCTTTGTCAATCATTGTTCGACAGTGCTTTTGTTTATTGTTTTGCATTATTTCCAAATTGAATTGAGCTATCCTGTGTATGTGTTATATTGTGGACTTGATTAAAAATGTCGTTATAATAAATTTATTTACCTTTGTGATATATTTCCCTGTTTGTTGGTGACGGGCGGAACTAATCAATTTGCATTTTTATGAACGGATAACCTCGCAGCATCGCCATCACCGAAATTGTTTCAGTTGACAAAAATGGAAATCAAATCAATTTCTGATTTAAAACTTGGGCTGGGATCATTGCGTTTTCGGGTCGGAAATACAGTTTTTTTTCACTGCCAATGATAAAATCTTGTTTTTTTTTGTATAAAATTTATTGTTGTGAGATATAATAGGGCATAAGGGCATTTGGCAGACCCTGGCTAAAGCTGGGAAATTGCCAGGAAGAAGAAGAAGATAATAGGGCATAACAACTTTTGATTTATTTTTAAGTTCACGAGTAAGTTATTGTTGGTTACTTAATACCAAGACTACACGGATTTGTTAAGATATTGAGTTTGTGGATAGAAACTTGCCCTCATATTATGTACTAAGAAGTTGATATAATGGCTTTGTGGTACAACAATATTTTCATATATTGTTAAGTTTTTCAACTTTTATTCATTTAAATAAATTACATACGTCTACTTCGCAACTAACCAATGTTTAACAACATTATAAACGTTGTCTTGGGTTATTTGATACTTTTAATTACACAGTAAAATACAAACATATAAAACACAAAAAGTGACAAGGATTACTCAAAATTTATAAACTAATAACTTTTTTCAATAACATTTTGTCTTTCTCATTCCACACTTCTAAACAGTCTTTAAGTTCCAGTATTTAAAAATAAGGTATTTCATAATTAACCAACGATTTTTTATAGAAAAAAGTTCTCAAGAGATAAATTTAAGGTACACAATAAAGGCTTCGTTTTTCTTTGTAAAATTAAGCATTTTTTAAATGAAAGAGCCGTTAAAAACTCATCATATTGTATATATTAAAACCTCATCGGTATGTGCCACATAAACTGTGTCATGAGAGGAATTCGTCCCTCGTCCTAAACAAATATAAACAACCCCACTTTGCTCGATCTTCATTGGCTTTACTCAACTTTATTGTCAGTTTTTCGCTTGGTTACTTTAATTCCCTTTTTTTTTGTTTACCGTTCCATTGTTTGATTTGTTATTCTTACTTGTTGCTTACATGATATTTTTATTAGGAGTCAAAAAATAATACTTTATATTGGAACATAAATAAAATATTTTATCCAGCTATTAAAATATTTAATCAGGTTCTTAATTTTCTTTATCTTTATCCTATTGAGCTCTGATTTGTATGAATGATAAATATTAGTCTAAAATTTGGGATTATTTATTCTCATTTGTAGAAATATAAAGAAGCTGCTGAATTCAGTAATACAAAAATGATATAAAAATAAATAAAAAATTAAATCATTATTAATTCAATGGTATGCAATAGTAAATCATTTATAAAATAATTTCGTGTACTATATATTATATAATAATGAGATGTAACGAAATAATAAATATTTTTGTTATTAATAATATAATATAATTCAATAGAGTTTATTAATAGCTGTAATTTTTGGGGCAAGCGGAATATTTCATAGCTATACAATTACTATAGAGGGTATAAATCATGAGATATCATGAAATATTGTTTCATTTATTTATCATTACTTTTAGTTCTTAACACAACAGATGCTATATCACCAAGAGACTATTTGTCAGTGATAGTAAATACTATCTTAAACATAAGGATCATGTTTAATGCTCGTATTATTTTTTAAAAATCATTAGTATTGATGACACTAATCTTAGTATACTCTAGTTAAAAACAATGTAAATTTTATATTAGTGCAGTTGATATAAAATATTCAAAATAATATTAAAAATCTCTGCTAGGATGAATTTAATAAAGACCTTGACTGTACCTATTTAAATGTGTTTATTCCCTTCATTCCGATTGTTTGTCAAGAAGAAATGCCAGGTCATTTGTTTTTTATATCAAGCATCGGTTAATTTTACTTCTAGTATTATTTTCTCTTCTGATTCCAAATAAAGTATTATTTATTGGATTCAATACAACGTTAACTATGTATATGGCCGATGAATCTATATTTGTAAGAAAGTGAACTCTTGTATATGTTTTAATGTGCATATAATTTTAAATGCGTCGAGAATTTTCTATAATTATATTCGCATTGAAGTTTTATTGTTAAAAGTTAAAGTAACATTTAGGGTGTAGTTAAATATAATATTTAACTATGTTTTTAATACTCTAAGTAAATGGAGATCGTAATAAAAGTTCCACTAGATGAATTTTCTCCTTTGGAGAGGAACTATCTTGCTAAGGACAGATCTACTAACACACTTTTTAAACATACCCTATGAATATGAATAAATATATATACAAGATAATTATTAAAAACAAAACATATTTTCACCATATGCAATTCATACTATTATATAAAAAGTTATAACCAACCTATTACTTTTTTATTTTATTTTTAACATTAACACGTATTTTTTATAGCAACTGATGTCAATCAAGTTCATTCAGGAGAACCGTGATATGGCTATTTTGTGAGGACATTCATGTTTTCTATGGACTCTATAATAAATGATACAGTCGCCTTATAAATATTTATATTCCTCTTTCAACAAAACATGGAAACAAAAATTGCATTTACTTCATAAAGTATGATGAAACGTTTTATCTCACAAAAATAATTAAAATACGCTTATAACACAAGTCTTATGTTTTATACGAATTCGTGGGTTTTCGGTTAAGCTTTATAAATGTTCTGAAAAGTAATTTGTAATATAAATCAGCATTCGTAATATGTCTTTTGGTAGAACAGTTTTATGTTAATTCGTTCTAACACGGAATGAAAAGGGATTCAATGTTCACTCAGAGGCTTTCATTTTGTGGTACGACCATTCATTAATTGGACATTTTAAGCCTTAATTTACTTAATGGTTACTTTTAATATGGTCTTTTTATTATGAAAGTGAGCTGGTAGGAATGATTTGAAACCAAAGATCTTTTATAACTTTACCTAATATAGTATTGATGGCAGTTTAAATCAAAAAGATAGTAAATGTGTATTATACTTAATATGTATGGCATTAAACATGTATGGAATTCTTTTAGTAAAGTAAGCAAAACTTATTTGATGATCAAACGTGTGCCAAATCAATAGTTTCTTCATGTCATATCAAAGAAGGCTTTTAATATTATTAATGTAACGTCATAATCAATCAGAACTGTCGGGTTGTCATATCGCAAACATCAAATGTTTGCTATCACTCCATACACATTCCAACCTCTGTTTCATAGATTCGTAACTCTTTTTATATATGTACAATATGTTACTGACTGTATAACGTTCGTATTATCCCTTCTTTGCTGCGGTTGTTGGACCCCGCCACAAATATCACTATCAACATCATGCGCTGAGATAATAGAGCTAAAAGACGTAAGGAAATCTTCGTTTAATTTCACTTAGTTTAATTGCTTCTAGATTGTTAGGATTTATGAATCAAGTGTCGTGTAAATGTGCAGATTGTTCCTGATATTTCGGATGATATTAAGGCGTCGGGGGAACCTATCCAAGATCGAGACGTTGTTATTAATATCAATCATGAACAAAACGCAAATTGTACACTGAATATCAATCAAGCGGAAACAAAGCAACTGGATATATTAGTTAGAATTACATATTTATTTATACATAATAATAATATTTACTTTAAAATAACTTCCATATATTTGGGTATAACAAAAAAATATGAATTATGTAAGATTCTTTCCTATTCTCTTGCGACAGTTCAACTCTGTAGACGTATTCCGTACAATTTATGATGTTGAATAAATATTCATATGGATTCCAATAATGTCTAAGTTGAACACAAATAATAAAACACAATCTGAAATGTTTTATAATTAAGTAGGAATAAGGATATCATTTCAGATATATAAGATGTATATTTACATTTTACTTTATTTGACTTATTAACATGAGTCGCGTGGTTTTATATTAGATGATATAATATGCTTTACTGATCACAGGGAAACTATAACAACTTTGTTAAAACATAAAGTATAAAAAAGAACCAAGAGTAAACTACAATACATTAATATTTATGTTTGAGAAAGTCAAATATTGTCATTTTATTTTAGGATAAGAATTGTATACATTTTACGAAAAAGCTGTAATGATAGATGCCATCTATTAGATTGATAAATGATTAACTCATTAAAGTTAATGGATAGTATGTCTACAGTAACAAGAATTAGAGCATTTTTAAACTATAGAATATTTTATGCTTTTATTTAAAGCAGTTATCTTATTATAGGTGGATAAAAAGGATTCTTTGGAAGTACCTTCATGTTCAAGAAACTGCAATCAGTCTACAGTACAAGCAAAAACATTAGTTGAAGGTTATTTTAACTTATTTAGTTGAAATCAATGAATAGAAAATAGTGCAGAAAGCTTTTGAAGCAAAACTAGCTAGAAATAACTTCGTAGGAGACCAAAATGCGAGGCCCATTACTGTAATTAATCAGGTATTTTGTTACAAAATACTGACTGACAACCACTAGTCTTTTGGGTTGTATACTTAAGGTAAGGCTATAGTATCGCTTAAATTTTATAAATAAAATAATATGAATATAAGCTAAGGTTAACAGTAAATTTATAATATTTTACAACGTAAAATCTAGAAAGGTTTAAAAAGCTTTTTGAAAGAAAACAATGGTATTATCAAGAGTATTAAAAGCGATGAGGTTTATTAATAAATAAAGTTAAAAGATCTACCTACGGAGCAGAAATAGAATAGAAATAGCCATTAAGTAATAATATTCACTCTCCAGAAAACACTTAGTATCTTTTACATTTAAACAAGGTAGGTACTCTTTTTTTCAATTTTTATGTGAGAAAATTGCGGAATATTGTAGTATATATTAAAACTTTTGTCCCATTTTCATAATTTTCTTATCGTTATTACAATATTTGAGGTGTTACAATAATTTTATAATTGATTTATGGTTGATTATTGTAACTTGGCAGTAAATATGTATATATAGCATTTTTATTTTCAGATATGAACAAATCATCACTGCAACGTGATATTACTGGCATTTTTGTCGTTTAAATAATTTTTATTATAATAAATATTTATATATTATTATTTTATTTTAATGAGTGTTTTGAGATGCACGTCAATGAATTTGAATTCCAACTAAAATACGAGCCTCCTTTGTCGAGATTCTATCAACCTATGATACTGCATAGTTAAAGTAATCATTAGTGACGGCAACCGAAATCTTCTTATTCATTTCTAAATCAGGTTCCTACTTCATTTTTAATGGTTTATTTCTTTGAGAGACCAGACTATATTTAAGAGTATTAAAGGTATTTATATCATATTTTATTTTATTAGCAATGTAACTAGGTATATGTGTATATGTTTTGCAACCAAATTTTTTAATGATAAAAGCTATGTGTAATATTGGCGCGTCGTTTGTTTTCGATGAAGAACGATGTTTTCTACTATGCATTTTTTGTGAATATTATAATTTTGTTTTTAGTATTAGATCAAGTTTTATATCTGTTTGAGCTCATTGTTGTAATGAGCTAATACATAGATTGAATTACAATACATTTTGTTTTAGGTTGACTTTACTAAACTATATAAAAAAGAGATTAACTCTGTAAAATGTTACAGGGATTAAATATAATGATATTATTCAAATGTACATTAGGTATGTAAATAAAAAAAAAAATTCATTCTAAATTTACAATATTTACAATAAAAGAAAATAAGAGATTATATCCGGTTTTATGAAGGGGAGAGAAAAAAAAATTCTTATTAAATTGTCTGTTCTAATAAATTGAAAGTATTCAGATAGCATATAAATATTGAATTTTGTGACTGTACCGGCACTGATGTTACTAAAGGGAAAATAAAATATAACTAACATTTTCCGGATAACGTAACGAGATGAGCATCTCGTCTACCCGTGATCACGGTTGCTGAAAAGTAGCCGAAACGTCAGGAGATTGTAGTTTATAGTCAAAAATAAAGCAATCGTAGTATATTGGGAAAATAGTAGTTTCATTTAAATGAATAAAACTCGCGAAAGTCTTAGATATCATTAAAATAAAATGTTTTAGTACAATTAAATAGTAAAAGATATTTTAAATTAATGAATTCCTCTTGATTTGATAACAAAAATAAAAAAATCTCATATATTTGAGGATTGGAATACTCTTCATATTTTCTGAAATGTCTTTATCACTCTCGCTATCATCAATAAAAATGTCAAAAAGGTTTCACTTCGTCATTTTCTGCGTTTAATATTGAGTCGTGGTAAGTATTTGATATTCAGGGGTTATCTTATTTTTAACGTTGATCTAAAAGGCCTTATAAGATTTGTTTTACGAGAAAAAATATGCTTCTTAAAAAAAAAAGATTACTAATCTTTCAAACTGTTTCTTTCTTAGTACATAGTGATTTTGAATAAAATAAAAAAATATTTCTTATAATTTTGTCGTCTTGTCAAATAATAAGTGAAGAGGAATCACCAAACCAAATTTTGTGGAAAAGGTTATTTTGATAACTGTTTGCTGAGAAGACTGTGTGCTATGAGTCTAGTATTAAACATATTTTTCAACTTTATTCAAAAATTAAGTACACATAATATATATTCTTTGAGAAAGAATTAACAGAGTATTTGTGGTTCAAAAAAACGTATTTTAAGTAAAATTCGTTTTAAACGCTTAAAATTTTGCATCAAAAGTCTAACCAATGTTAATGGTAATATGAAGACATTGTAATAAATCGGTATATTTTTCTAAAGATTTAAAATAATTTTGTACAATGTTATCATATATTTTTCTTAAATCTTGAATTAATTATTAAATTCTAACAATAAGGTCAGGTTACCAGAAAACGAGTCTAAGTATAATATAAAACACATATGATTAAAGTCATCAGAATGTTTACGGCAGGTAAAATTGCTTTTTTTATGAAGAATGGCCCAAAAATATTCAATATAGGGGACTAACGCCTCTACAATTCTATTATATGCAAATATATTCGGGGCTCGTGCCTTCGAATACAGATGACTCATTGATCCTATGTATCGACAAAAATGTCACAATTTATAAAAATATCAATACCAATTGAGGGACCTCTTGACTTAAATGTATACAACTTTTCTCCATTTAAAGTAAAGAGATAAAATTAATATATTTTTGAAGGACTTTTTTTGGATTAAGACTGTTTTATGAAGCTGACATTAAACTAGTTTCCTTGTATTTTTAAAATCAGAAAATTAAGCAGTTTAGAGATTAAAATATATGTTCTGGAAATACTTACTGTGAATATGATTTTCATAATTATTATAAACTCCTTACAGATAAAGTAATCAAGAAAATCTTATATAATTTCGTAAGTTTTCACAGTTTTGTCATCTTCTCTTTCTCAATCACTATTTTTACGACATCGTGCGATATTTTATTTCATCTTTAATTTCAAGGTTACAAAACTTGGTTTAACATTATTAGATTAAATCTGAAGTTTAATTAAGGATTACATATTTTAGGGAAATTTAGAGTAATAATTTATTCATATAATCAATTAAGACCTTTGCTGTGACACTATTGGAAGGTTAATTGAAATATTTAATTCTTGACCCACTGTAATATAAGAGGATAATTTTCTATCTTAATGGCTACTAAATATTTAATACTTTTATAGTGCTGCTATGTTTAAAATGTTCTACACATGAATTATAAATAAAATAATATTTTGGATTCATGACAACGAAAAATATTAATAAAAAAACCGAAATATATGTATATACATATATGTACGATTCGAAAGTATTAGTAACAATTTGTGAAAGAAAAAATGACAATCATTTGAACGTTAGCATGAATAAAATAGAATCTGTGAATAAACATTTTTTTATATATAAGAAAACTTAAATACATAGATTTAAAGTCAAAATACTAAATAATTTAAAACTTAACACAAAAAAAGCATGGGTAATCTTCATTTTTCTCAATTTAAGCATTGGAGAGAGCCCAAATGCTGAAGTAACGGCCTCCGACATTGATAAATTGAAGTCTTGTGTTAAATAAGGCCTGATATTAGTTTGGGTTTGAATCGAATGTTTGTTGATGTCGACCTTACAAGGGTTATCTATGTGTCTCAGAACTTTGACTGAGCAAATTGTTTGCTACGAACTGTTCAGTTAATACCTAGTTAATTAATGCTTAGTGTTATTGATTGTTTTAAATTAAATAAAAAATATTTGACAATATAACAGAAGGTTTTAATTCAATAAGAAGACGGGAATGTAGTTTAATTTATTCTGTCATCAATTCAGTTTTAGCTGTAAACTTTATATTCTACATAATTAAGCTGCTGCAAAGGAACCGAAACATTAGAAAAATGTAGTTTTAAATAATGAGTAACGAGTAGTACATCTAAAAAGGTGATATTGTTTTATTTATTTACTAGATCAATTTCAACTTAGTGTCAACTACCTACTATTACGAAAATTAAAACAGAACGATTATTTGGCTGATTTTTAATTTTTATTAATTGAAAATTATTAAACTAGATTGTACAGCATTTACGTAATGAAAATGTCATAAAAAATAAATTGGTTATATGTTATATTTATGTTAGTATTTATATAAGAATCTTTTCATTGGATTTGTTACAACTAAAATTTAAATCTTGTCATACATGATTCTCATTTCTTGATAATTATTTTTGACTCTAGCGTCAAAGTCTTTCATTTCTCGTCTGCGGTCATCGTCGTGATGTTCTCCTAGTGTGTAACAACGAGTGCCACAACCACAGCATTTACAGCAACCGCAGAACGCGCAACGAGCTCTAACAGCATCCCATGCACCTAGAATTTAATATAAAACTTATTTTTTTATTAGAGAACGATAAATGATCTGTGAGTTTTCTTGATAGTATTGCTGCTTTAAATAATTATTTAATTAAAACGAGGAAGAAAAAATAATATTGAAGTCGGAAAGCAAAAAGAAGTATTTGACAGTCTCATGGTATTTAAGCTAAGCGTATGAAAAGCAAGTGTTACAGTTGTGTCACGATGTCCATTGAGAATGAGTTTGACGTCTTTCGAAATACATGTAATTGTAATTGATGTTTTATATATTACTTCCCTGTTAAAAACTTAACTGGCACAAGTGTTAAAATATGATTATTATATTAAGTTGTTAATATACGATATGCTGTATGTTTCCCTAATAATAAATAGATAAATAATAAATAAATAAATATTTTATGATATTAGACATGGCTGTATCGGCTTTGTTCTCTTTGCTTGTTCTGAACGGAACTAAGTTAACCAAAAAAATTATAATTTTTTATGATACTCACCTAATTTTTTGGCTAACTCTTTGTACTTGAGGTAAGGAGTGTCAGTTGTGTCGTCTATTGGAGCTTGGCAGATGCGGACTATAGTAGGCTCTTCATGTTTCATAATAGTCACACGACGGGAACGAGCGAACAAAGGACAGGGACTATTCGCGTACACTTTCTGCAATTATATTAGTATCGTTTCATAAATAATACGCTTTATCCTATTTTAATTAATGCGTATATGCCTGTAATTTTAATGAAATTTTACATAATCTAATGGACACATAGAAAAACTTATAAATATATTAATTTAAAACCCTGTCAATATGTGGACGTTAAATATATTTGTCATTGTCAATTTTAATCTATTTTACGATAACAATTTTCTGATGATTAACAGAATATAATATATTAATGAGATCTAAGACTTTTGATAGCTTATTAATTTAAATTTAACTAGCATTTTTAGAATACATTACGCATGCTTTAATAAATCTAATATTACACACTCTTGACGTTTCGGCTACTTGTCAGCAACCGAAATCACGGGCAGAAGAGATGCATCATCATACATTTCGTCGGGACCGAACAAAACGTTTGGAGTATGTCGTTTTTTTATAAAAATAAAGTAAGTGTAGTATATCCGAAAAATATATGTTTCATTTATATAATATATTATATTATAAATAACCGTGGGCCATCTTCTGAAGCACTCCTGGAGTGGTTTTCTCTCTAGCAGGAGTTCAGCTGAGGTGTTCTGAACCTTTCCTTGCCACACTCGTCTTCTACTTTTACATATTGGGCGGCATCTGGAGTTTTGATTTTAACGAGTTTAATGCAATAGAATAAGTAATTTACATGAAAAATTATAATAATCTGTAAATGTATTTTTATCACTAGGTTAATTTATGAGAGGAGGCACATGTGGAACGTTTTCATTATTTTCTAATGCCTGAATAGTGCTTGATTTTCATTTTATCCATTGGTGAAAAAGTGGTCGCCGTGGTGTATGTACTATTTTAGTAAAAGCCTATCATTCTAGCATAAAGGCAAATTATAGTTGGAAGGACGCCCAGAACCAGAAAAACTGTCCCAAACCTTTTGCCATGAGCATAAAGAAGTTGGTAGTGTATCGTTTCGCTCGGACGATCTACTTTGAAAGGAAAACAAAGAGTCTAAAGCAGTGAGATGACATTTGGCAGAGCCTACTTAAATGTAACATCACACATCACACGATCCGACTTGTGACGTGTATAGAGAAAAAAGCAGTCTTTGCCTGTAGTACTGCTGTATTTTTGTGACACTACAAAGATGCCTCACATCTGTTTTTAGCTTTGGACTTGAAATTAATTTACATTGTGTGGGTTTCGACAAAAAAAAACGGACTCAAAATTTTGTAATTTGCGTAACCGATAAAAGAAATAATAAAATCGTAAAATTCTAAGAAAACACTATTCAATACTTAATTGTTCATAACAATTCCTGGTTGCTACGAAGATGAATGTTATTATTTAAAACCTTACTTGCATATCCCGTCTTCCTCTTTTCTATTTGTTTCTTTTGATTTCGGTAATTCTAGCATTTCAACTTATATAATTTATATTACTACAAAAACAAAAATAAAAACAAAATGATGTACAATGTCCTACATATATTGATGACAGTTAAAAATAACTGTCAGTCAGTCAGTTTTATTTGCCATTTAATCGCTTTTTAAAATGTTTTCTTCAGGCAATGACTTATTAATATGGATTATTAAAGGTCAATATTATTGGGAGCTATTAAGGGCATGTAAATAGTAAAAATGAAATTTTTTTTCTACATAAATATAAAATATTCCTATATATTTATATACAACCTTATTTATTTCTGTAAATATATAAAAAAAATAAATTATGAAATGTGTAATAAATGTCATGAAAATAATTTTAACCTTTTCTGAGTTTCGGTAAAGGCTGTCACTTAATTTATCTCATAGGAAACAGATATGGAAGATATTAGTAATAATTTAGAAACGAACGAAACTCGTGTTTCGAAATATAATTGGTATGAAAATAACGAAAATATGCCACAAAACGAACAACATATTAAATTTCATGACCACGTTGAACATGTCAGCGATGAATTTGACGAGGGTGGAGAGCATTTAAATGAAAATGAAGACAAAGCAACAATCAAAGATACTAACAGCTTTGATTTAGAAGATTTTGACACAGCAAGGACTGATACCGGAGAACCTTTAGCGCCTCAATATATAACCATTGACTTCACACCTGTCCGTGGAGTTGACGATGTAGAATCTTTACAGGAAAAATGCTTAGGATTCTGGAAATTTGTTAATGAAAATCCAAATGTGCAGCGTTTGTCAGATAAAGGATTTGAAGTGGGTTTATTGTACAACCGTTTCTTAAACCATTTAATGTTTAAAGATTAGCTTTGTCACATAATTTATAAAGACAAAAAGTTTTGGAAAGACTCAAAACAATAATAGATATTAGGTTATAATTTCATTCACCAACAGCCATTTTGCTCTATTTGATTCGTTTAGTAAAAGTACCGACCGTACATTAAAATAAGCTTTTGTCCTTGTTTTCATTACTTAATTGTTTTATGTACCAAAAAAGAAAACAATATTCGATAATTATCTTTTTCAGGAGATCCACAGTTTGACAATAGAAACCAATACAAATATTCCTACAAATAGAAGTGATTCTTATAATAGTGTGAATCAGACCATCAACGTGTTTCAAAATGTCGGTAAGTTAAATAAAATATATGTTAGGGATATCTTGATTTATATTACTTATCTTAATAAAAGTTTTGTAGCTTTGCCTTTTTTAATTTCATATAATGTAGTGAAAGAGTTATGCTAAATGTGGTTTATTATAATTTAGCGATTGAGAGTAGGTATAGGTCTATAAAATTTTTCATACTCTCTTAAAACACTTAAAAAGGATAGTTATATTAAAATAACATTTTTTCTTCTTTTACAAAGCTGATATTACACGGATGTTTGAAACTAAGCAGTCATGTGATTATCAGAACCATAATGACGACTACTTAAGTGGCGAAGTGCGAAAACAGAACCCACGTCAAGTGAAATTAAAGAAGATATACAACGAACGTGGTTAGTAGGACATTAGTTAATTGAATTGTAAGAATTGGAGTACAAATAAAAACAATCTTATAAAAGCAATATTAGAAAATAAATACATTAATTATAATCATATTCTAATATACCTGACTTAAAAAACAATAGTATACAATTATTATGCTATTCTTTAATTTCGATCGTTTTTTTAAAAACAAGGAAAAGCTAAAGAATAAAAAATTGATACGTAAGCAATAGTATGGTAAAATTAATTATTTATTTCTTTGAATTATTAATTAAACATTTAAAAATAAGAGCAGAAATAAATATATTGTTGAAAAAAAGTCAGACAACTAACAAGGTGACACACGCAACGTAACGATCTTAAATCATATCGTTTGTGAACTAGTGGTCTTGTGGTGTTAGATTTGTAAGAACAACTACACTAATGTTGTACATTTATTTAAGAGAATAAGGAATATAAGTTTCCTGTTATTTTATAATTACTGCTTTTTTATTAAGCTTTTAATTTATTCTCTTCAAGCTTTTTTATTAATACAACAGTTATACAATTATATATATATTTTTAATGGTATTACAATAATAACGACTATTCATTAATTCGTACCCTCGTTCATTTTTCTTTGGTAAAGCAATTATTTTTTTAAAGTGCTAAGAGGATGTAACACGTAATCTTTATGGCTGGAGGAAGAATTTCTCATGTAATTCTTTTATTAATACAACAGTTATACAATTATATTATTTTTTTTAATGTTATTACAATAATAACGACTATTCATTAATTAGTACCCTCGTTCATTTTTCTTTGGTAAAGCAATTATTTTTTTAAAGTGCTAAGAGGATGTAACACAGGTAATCTTTATGGCTGGAGAAAGAATTTCTCATGTAATTCTTTTCTTTAATATTTGTGTCAGTCGTGATGTGAAGGTAGTATGTGATCACACGCTGAATGTGAATACTCCTTTTCAATGAAATTTACACTTCATGTATTCAGTCGTCATGAAACTAGAATACTAACACCTATACCTTTTGAAGGTCTGACTAGAAATATTGACTAGTACCAAATATCAATTGTTCACAATTATTTAACAAGTCAAGTGTATCGTTAACTTAATAAAATCTTGGTGAAGAACCCGTTTAAGGTTACAAAGTAGTTGTTACGATAAATTATGTAGCAAAATATTGACTTTCTCTATGGAAAACATTGAGCCTGAATTATTTAGTTTCTGAAAGCAATGTACTAAATTTGTTTACCTTTCATTTTCTACTTTTACATATCAATTAATTTGATATATCGTTTTTAATATTATTTTTTAAAGAAATGGGTTTATGTTAGTGGCAGTGCTTTGTTTATAATTATTTCTTTCTAGGAATAGACGAGCCTTACTGAATAGACATAAAACAAATAGCATTTTTGATGTAGCGGTAAAGTTTTTATATTTTGATATTTACTTATTGTACTATTAGTTTTCCTGATTAAATAAATCATAAGTGTGTTTTGGACATATAAATGTATATGGTTTAGAAAGAATGTTATGTATATTTATAGGTAGTCAACAATCCCTCCCAGAACTCAAGTCAGAAATGAGTTTATCGAACCGTCTCTCACGTACGAGTTACCAAGTGTCCGATGAAGTTGATAAGTTGTGCCACGAAATGAAAAACTGGGATATATTGCATCCTAAGTAAGGATATTTTTTAAAACTGTTATAGTGTTAAATGATTATTCCCTAAACTTGTAACGAAAAACTTAATATTTTCTAATGTATTGCAAATTTTAGGGATACTGTGTTTTTCGGAAATAACCCATCTAAATTTGAGTTATGAGAGGTAAATAAGTAAAATATAGTTTTATTAAAATCTGAAGTTACGACATCTTAAAATAATGATGTACTGCAGAAAATATGTTATATTTTGTTTGCACCAACTAATATAAGTATTTCATGAATTAATGCTTAATAACTTGTGTATTAGAAGAAATAATATATAGGATACAATTATTTCTTAACATGTGTATGTATTACTTCCCCAAATTAAACAGAAATTTTGTAAAAGTGATACGTAGAAATAAAATATAAATTAAGAATATGATATATTGAAAAATATTTTTTAAATATAACTTTTATTTTCAGATCAATGAAATCACCGAAAACCTTGAAATTTGACCCTTAATTAATAATAAAGCAATATATTAATAGGATAATTCATTATATAAAAACAAGCTGTTTAATTTAATTGTAAATACAATAATAAGAAAGTATATAGTAAAGGAACAACATATTTTATTGAACTTTTCAACAAAACTTTATGTAGAATTTATTTTATAAGTAATTCCTGTAATAAATATTCACCTTATGTAATTCTTATACCCATGTGTGTGATGGAACATTTTATTTAGAGTAAATCATTTTACTTGTAAGTCAGGAAATTGATAGTACTTGTAACAATAATGTCACTGTTTTGAGTGGTGGCCTAGTTATTAAAAGGCCTGCCTCCCATGCACGAGGGCACGGGTTCGTCCTGGTCTTGGCAAGTACCAATGTGATTTTTCCGAGTCATATGTAAAGTACATACTAAGAGTATTTAGACACCACTGATATTCCCAAAGAGGGTGTATGTCAGGCAGGCGGCCGGTCATAAAAACTATTAGCCAAAACTATTCACAACATGTAAGGCAGAATCTGGCTAATGCTGGGAAATTGCCAGGAAGAAGAAGAAGATACTCTTTATTCACGTAATTTGTGCATAAACTTTGCTTTTTCATTTATTTTCGATTTTCAAGTGTCATCTTTACTGTATCAGTGAATTATTTCAATTAACTTTGATTTAGATTTTATATAGAAGGTTACAGACTTTTTTATTTATATTCACAATATAATGATGTGATGTTATATTTCTTCAAACCACAGAAGCTTCTTAAAAGATCCGTCATTAATCACAAGGCCCTTTTACGTATGAGACTCCGGGTCACATTCTCATTCAATTTCTTTATTCTGAATAGGCCTTTATTATAATCTATATTTATCAGATAAAATACTTGACATTCCTTTCAAACGATTTTATATAAATTGAGAACGTTTCTGATATACCTAAGATCTTCTATCAAATTAATATTATTTTATCCTAATGATTACTTTCATATAGATATATTATAGTGCTCTGGGATTTTTTTTATTTTTAATACATTTGTATTTATAATTGCATTTGAAGATTTTTATTTATGTATATGGTTTTTTATATTTTGTTCTCGTAAATTATTCCAAACGCTGGATGCATTGCTTCTATTTAAAGTGTATTCTAATACTATTTTCAATTAAATACAACAAAAGAATTGTATGTTGTATATATGACCATAAGAAATATTAGAAAAATTCCATATATTTTCCGTTGTATAAAAAAACTTCATTTGCAATTTTTTTAAGGTGTTTTAGTATGTGCTACTTATTTATAAAATATACGTTTTGTCGAGAATGCTTTGGCATACAAAAAAATTCATATGAATTTATGATTACACCATATTGTTTTACAAACATTTGATTTTTAAATAAATAACTAAAATGTATGCTCGTAGTAATCTGTAATGATTATAGTACATCCAATGTAATGATGCATGGTTCTTAATAGAGTTTAGCAGAACGAGATACTGTATTGAACACGACTGATGTTTATTAATCGTCATATAACTTAGGGCAAGTTTTATGAAAGTGGATTAAATCGACATCTTGCAAAAAATAATTTAGCATTATAATTTAATTCTAACACGTTTGAAAATAACTTATTTTACAACCATTCTATTCGTTTGTCGTTCTGCAAAGGTTTCAATGAGGATAATATTTGTATGTTAATTTGAAATATTAGAATTCATAGTTTATATAAATTTTAAATCATGATTATGATCAAAATAAAAAATTACTATTTTTTCCTATTTAATAATATTGATATATTATGTTAATAGCAAATCTAGTAAAGAAATCAATAATTATACATAGTATACTTAACATTTTCATCAAGATCATTATAAAGCATACACGTTTTTTCATTACACCATAAAGAACAATTCATCAGAAGCGTATAAGTATTTTGGAAATACCTAATATAGTGAAACAAAGAATCTCATCTTTGAAGCCAATAATTGTATTTCTGCAGCACAATGTAACCCTTATTAAGTAAACAAAGCAATATAACAAAGGAATTTCTTAATCGATTACGGTACATGAAGGAGACGCCTCTGGCGATTTTCCATCAAACGATTGATCTTTAAATCATATTTACAGCATTTTTGGAAGACGAAATAATTGACACAAGAAAAGTGTCAATAATGTGTTTCATAGATGATTAAATCTTTTCTTAAACTCTAACCTTATTTTTAAGGTATACTTCATTTCGCTTCATTACCTCTGAATTAAAATTATTCAAAAAAATAAAAATTAATGCGACTTTAATCGCTTTGTTCGACTAGACCCTCGGGATATAGTATATAATGGTCGACTCGTAAAACTGCCAACAGGTTCTGAATTGACGTCATAAATTCAACACATTATGGTAATTTTGGATGTAAGTAAAATGCGTAGGAAGAGATGATTACATATATATTTTTAGCCATAATCTCAATGCGTTGTTATTAAAGGTGAGATAATCTTGACAATATCGCTTACTTATTTTATTAGGTGATGCTTCAACAATAGCCTTTTTTAAAAACTATATCAGTACGTAAGAACATATTGTTAGGATAAGAATATAGTAAAAAGATAGTTATGTTGACGAAAACTAAAAATAGTTCATAACTAAATAGTGTATAAATAAAACGTTATTGCTTAGAAATCCATAGAATACAAAGTAAAAGTAGAATGTACACAAATAAAAGATGCTGCTGTGTTTGTAACAAAGCAAGACTGGAGTTTAATGGATTAAATTTTTACATAAACCCGACGTTTCGATTACTTTACTCTAATCCTGTTGCCGGGAAGAGATGAGAGTGTCTGGCTATCTGTCTACGTCTATGTATATGGTCGTCCAGAGATTTGTTCCTAAGGGATTATTTACCAACAATCTTGAACGTCGCAGATATAAAATTAATGTACTCCGTAATAATGTCTCAGGTGTTCAGTAGCAGGTACCTTTAATGTTAATAAATTAGTCATAGTATTCAGTACCTGTTTGAGGATTGTTTGATTAAAAATTATTGAAGTTATGTATTAAGATTATCTACAAAGTTTTGGTTTACATACAACCTGTTTGTTCTTGCTATTTGAAAGTTAATCCTTACTATGTGTAAATTGATGTTTTTCAGATATTTTTGGAAATCCAAATCCAGTTCTGAAGGTATATAAATTAGTAGTAAATTAGATCTTTATTTGTCGCGAGTCCATTGTGCAATTGGAGCTTCAAATTGTAGCTCTCTGCCCTCATAATAGCTAATTAACGAGCCTAAAATTTGTCATCGCACCAAAATTTCAGTGTGAATTCATTTGTGTACATTTAATAACGAACGCATATGATACTTTTGTAATTATATAAAACGGATTTTGAAAGGAATCTTAATTTCGACGGGCAAATTTAAAGATATTTATTAAATTAATTAAACTTTACGATACTATTTGTAAGATATAAAATATAATGTTTGCCATTTTAAATTTAATATGTGACACAAATTGACGTAATTTTTATGTCTTTTTAATACATTTTTGTACAATATTACAAATATTTTATGGTTTATTAAGGGATACAAAGTAAACATAAAGAAGAAGAAGAAATCAAATAGGTAAAGTTTAATGGTTTGAAAGTATATTTTTGAAATAATATACATACAAACATAATGAAAAAAATATGATTAAAAACATTTTTAGTGGAAATGAAACCGTTGTTAAGAAATCCAGATAAAGTGGCCTTCACTTATCAGCATTAGAACTAAAGGGCAGACTTATTCAAATGAAAATTTACTCTGTCTTCAAGTGACTTACAGCTTATCTTGATAAACTACAGCTGGAAATGAATAGATGGAAATTACTAACAAAATACGCTCATGACATATTATAAGAAATTTTAATAAGTTTGTAGTTTATTAATGCCATTATAATATTTATTGTAAAAGAGCCTCATACAACTCCTTATATTAACTGCGCGGCGACAATACATTTTTATTTAAAGAAGAGCTAAGTACTTGTTGTCAATCACTTGTGTTCATTCCTACTACGGCAATATTTGAAGATTAAACATTGTAAGGAAAAAATATTGATATCACTTCTTTTTTCACTTCATTTCACAAAAGAATCTATGATAATGTGTTAATCGTATAATATGTTATATTTTTTTTATATTTAGCCAATTATTTGAACATAGCCTGATAATTGTCACTCTAAGTACTTAATGTTTTATAAGCAATTAAAGAAGTATAATACAATTAATATTTAATACAATATAGAAAGTGAGGATTTCTTGTTCATTAACTAGATTTTTCTATTATCCAAATTGTTGTAAGAATGAACAAAAGTACCTAAAGATGTAGTTTCAATGGTTTGGTATATGTTATATGTAGGTACCTTTTTTTTAAGAATCTTTCTTTTATACAATTGATTTAAAAGTATAAACTTGCTTTTCTAGTCATAAAAGCCTATAATAAAGCAAATATTCTTTATTGGGCGAAGCCTCGCGAGTTACTAATACGCTGTATATGATCTTAATCACTTATA